GAAGCAGTATGCAAGAGTCGTTTAAACAGAAAGGTGCAATCTTAAAACCTTGATTGCTCTGACACCTCCCCTGATGGAGAACTGCAAAGTATAGTAGCACCTACATTTTAGTTAATCATTGCCCCAGACAAGTGCTGTTTATTGAATTTTAAGCAGAAAGAAGTCAGACATAAAAAATATTATGTGAAATTCTGTAGCCATCTCATGCAGCAGGGCAGATATCAGAACAGCATCTTCTGCCTCTAACAGTGACTTACCTTAAAAACTGGCACAATGTCCCAGAATCATCTAATTACCCAACAAGAACTTTTTGAAAACTAAGAAGGAAATTGATTCACAGGAGAGAGAGATATATTCCAGATCCCAAGAGAAAGATGCACAGAACAAATCTTGCAAAGATAAACCAGGTCTGAGACAGCGAGACATGATATGAGCAAGAGAGTAAGATGAAGACAAAACTTTTAAGAAGTTCCATTTGATTGACTCTCACTAGTGACTGTTTGAAGCTGTCCTTTCCTAAATGCCAGAAACGATACTGAGGTTGGTATGAACTGTAGGACTGCCTCAAAACAAGGCACTTATTATTCTAAATGTATCTTGACACTGAATTTCAATATTGAAAGTTTTCTTTTAGAGGGCACAAGGTTTCCCTGCTGGCCCAAGTCAGCTATTTTATAACAAATCTTACTATCTGTAACAGAGAGGCATTTTTCAGAAAGGCTGAAAGCATTGTCTAAAGCCATTTTCTCCGGCATTACAAAGTCATTATCACTGCAATACTCCAACTCCTAATGTCATCCAGCACTGAGAAGCTGCACTGACTTCAAAAGAGAAAAAACAAAACCAAATTATTAGATAGTATATATATATAGATATAGATAGATATATATATTAGATAATGCTGGTATAAAACGACAAGCTACTTCACTATTACAGTGTATCCTGTCCCACACCTTCCTGCACACATCTCCCTCATTGCCGGATAAACTCTGTGAACAGGCTGAGGAAGTCTGTACTTGACATTAAAAAAGCTAGTCAAGGCCACAGGCATTACTTGCATCATACCAGAACTGTAAAAAACAGGCTAAAGCAACCCAACTCCAGAATTTTCGGTAACTTTCACATACCAAACCCTACCAGGCACGTATCTGATTTAAATTTCACACCTCTAGAGTGATGATACCTCAAACCCTTCCTTAGGTTCCTCAAAACATCACTTTCTCTGCTTAAAGCGTTCCTTACCCTGCCCTTATTATCTAGTTCAAACTTTCCCTTCCTTAGCCTTAAGCAATTGCTTTCTCCTACCATCTGAGACCAACCAATTCCCTCTCTTCATTTATCTTACTACCTTAATGATATTAATAGACTATTAATAGTCACCTCTACTCACTCTAAAAATTGAGTTCACTCTGCTTTTTGCTGCCCTCCTTTGTGTTCTCTCATTTCCTCAGTGCCTCCACAAGCAAGATACTTAACTGACAAAATACTCAAAGTAAGCAGGTCTGTGTATAGGATCTTGCAAAAACCCCCCAAACTTACTACTGCTCTGTAACAGGAACTATGATAGCAAAGAGCGTGAGATAGGTTTTACTATTTTTTTAACTTTGTTGATCCATGAACACGATGTCCTACAGATCAGAGAAATCCCATTAATCAATTTTAAAGGAAAAGTGTTGGGGCAACAAACCCACAAAAAGCAGATATGACAACTCAGTTGCTGAAGAGTTCACGCACTCTTCTCACAAATGCATCTGATCATTGTGACTAAGAGCTGAAAGTGCAAGTATGCTTTTAGCTTACCTCTCTGCATCTTTGAGACCAAACACCATTAAGTACTAATAAGAATTAACTGTTACATGAGGATTGGATAGGGTTGAAGAAAGGGTTTAACAAAAAATGACCTTCACAACTGGGCAACCCTGAGGTCACAAGAAATGAATGCAGAAAAGGACATCTCAAGGATATATCAAAAATAATCCACATAAACATTTAAAATCTCTTCTACTATGTATTTTGTTCCCATAAATTCACCAGCTGAAACCACTGGAGATGTGGATTTCCCCCCAACCCACCATGAGATGTCATTCCATGAGGAATAATTTCAATTTTATTTTCTCATCTGTACAACAGAGCTCTTCCCATGAATTACAACCTTGTCTTCAAATCAGTAGCTTACTGATCAGTCAAGACTCCCACACACATACCTTCTTCTCTCTCTTCAGATGAGTACGGTGTCAAAAACCTGGCTTGATTCATCTGTCACATTAAATAACTTGTTTTACACCTCTAAGGGCAGTTATCCAAAACCAGTCTACAACATTGAAATGATTGTTTAATGTCAAGTGAGATTTTTTTAGTCTATCTGGAGAAATAAACTGAATTTCAAAAAAAAGGGAATGTACGCATTATTTCATCCTATTAGGAACAATTAATACCTAGTGCCATGAACAACTGCTTATTTCTTCTTAAATGTACTTTTAATCACATACCTGATTTCTGAAAAATTGTAGCTGAGTTAACAGTAATATAAGATTAACTTCCATTTGATTGGCATATTTTAGATCTTAAACAAAAGTCAGTCTGAACCTTCACAAATCTATTAACATACTCACACTTTAAGGTGCTTTCAGTAATTTAAAACAATTTGGAACAGTTTTGTTTCTTTTTTTGCAAGCAGTAAAAGTTCTGTGCTTGGAGCTCCCTCAATTGACAATCACATAATAATTAACTGGTATAAATTTTGAGTAAAACCCTGGAAGGACAGCTAACCCTACACTGCCATCAAACTAATTTTGCCTGAGTAGGGAAGAAGTTAAAATTTAGCAACATTTAATAGTTATTACTGAAGTACAGCTTACTGTATTCACTTTTCTCATGTGTTCCTATTTTAAATTATTTTGATTAGTTATATATACACACATAAAACTTCTCAAGCCTATGACTAACTGTTGAATCATCTGGGACTGGGCTAGCCAAAACTGAAGATAATCCTCTTTCAACAAATCGAATGTAAGTTAGTTTACAAACAGACACTTGACCTTTTTATGCATGAGTATATGCAGTGTTAACTCACTCAAGAAGTAATATTAAAACAATTCTATTGATGCCAATGAGTAAGTTTGTGTTTCTTCAGCAGAATTCTTCCATTTGTATCTGCTTCCACAAACATGCCACTGAAAACACCAGTGCTCTCAAGTGACTCTACAGCTGGTCTTAGCATTTTTCCATTAATGAAAAAGCAATCTTAAAAACCCTTCCAAGTTACATTGCTTTGGTTTTAAAGGATAAAAAAAATTTCATTCAATGAGCTAGAAGAATGACGCAGATAGCAAGATAATTAAAAAATAATTGATCATGCTTTTTCTAAAACATTTTCTGAAACTTTAAAGGTAATTCCATCAGTAATAGTAATGGTGAAGAATTAGCCTTTAAAAAGCCCACAGATATGTAACTAGACTTGAAAAGATTCTGGACTATGCACTGATAAAATGCTAGAGGCAGCAAGCACAGATGGATGAAAATATACTTTTGCTTTTTACCAGCCACAGCGCACAACAAGAGACAGCACAGTGGTAGGAGACTTCAGAACACATCTAACTTCAGTGAGGTGTTCGTAAACTCCAAGTACGTTTTTATCTTTGTCCAAGCTTGCAGAAACACTGACTTAACCTACACTGCTTGTCCAATGTCTCTTTATAAATATAGCAGCAGTACGTAAGTGCTTCTGCACAGTTTCATTTACCACAGCAGGGACATAACCAAAGACTGCTACAAAGAGCATTACCTACTCTCTCCATCCATCTTCCCTTCTCAAAAGCTTCAGCACCCCATTGCTGCTGAGGACCATCTCTGTACAGGAATCTATCCACTGAAAGGAGGAAGGAAAATTTAGACTGATTACTGAGTGTTCCTTAAAAAGAGACACATCTGAGTGAAGATATGCACACATTTCCTTTCATTCTGCCTTTTTCACCTATCCATCTGTTCCTTCCTATTCCAATCCACAGTTTCTTTTGCTTTCCTCCTTCTCCCTACACTTCTGCCCTGCCCCTCTCCCAACATAACATTAGATCCAAATCCTTAATGAATTCCAATATTCTGGAATCTTGTCTGTGCTTTCTATGTCCTACCCAACCATCATTGGTAAGTCCATTCCAGCAATGTTAACTGTCAGGGGAAATTATCAGTAGGACAGTTCCTTCCCTCTTCTCAAATTCCCCCATCTTAATGTGGGTGCAGTAGCCTTTGTTACAAAGAAACAGGCACTTCCCTTCTCTAAAGCAGAGCACATTCTGGTTAACTCCCAAGTGCTGCGTGCTCCATTTCAGCACGTGCTGCTCAGCAGGTCTAAATATGATTTCCACAAACAGCAGGTACAAACTTGGTTGCCTTTGCAAGAAGGAACTGTGCTAGGTAGTTCCTTTTCCAAACACAGAAGGCTCATACTTACATAATTTTGCTACTGCTAGGACACCAAGTTAGTTTCCATTTTATTATTGCCTTCTTTTGCTCCCTACACAAGGTCTAAATGCATATTACAAAGACAATGAGTGATCATAGAAATATAGGGAATAAGAATCATATTTAGGAGAACTGACATTCACTTATTTTAAAAAGGTGAATTTAAGTATGTATGCCATTCATTTCATTTAATTCCATCCAATGATTTTTCTGTATATCTGCATACACTACCATTTTGCATAGATGTTGTAGTTTTCCTTAAAACAAGTAGTCAGTCTCAAAACACTTTCTGAAGGACACTTAATTATTGTCCATTATGAGGAGAAATTTAAGTGCTGAGTAGTAATGAAACACATCAAGTCCTGACTCAAAATCAGGCATATCCTCCAATCTAAGTCCTTATTACATAAACTTTATTAATTAACTAGAACAAACAACTTACTTATGTTTGTTCATGTGTAAGAAAATTAATCAGAAGTTTACAGCCAACTGAAGAGTAACGCTAAACAGAAAAGAAAGCTCAAACACAGACGGGTAAATAGAACTATTTTCATAGATTTATTTGAAAAATACTTACAAAAGCAAGTATGCTTGACACTAAAATAGTTAAACTTATTCTGTGTTTACATCGGTGTAGTTAAGCGTGCAGCATTAACAGTCTGTTTGAAGCATCATTAGTTTGCTTTAAAGAAGTGGAGAAAACTGGGGTTTACTGTGAACAATGTCTCCCTGTCACTTCCTCTGCAGCAACTACAGTTGTGATCTCTATATGAGATCTCAGAACATTGAAAATCGTGCTTGCTTTACTAACTACCACCTGCCAAGTGCAGATTTACTGGAACCTGGAAGGTAGGTCAGTTTTTTTTTCCTAGGAAGGAACAGGAGAGAGTAAGGAGAAGAAAATAAAAGGATTGGTTTCTTTTTGTGAAGAATTTACCAAAGCTACATTTCATGAAAAAGAGTTCTTAAAAATGTCCTTTTGTTAGTTGCCATCTTCCTTCAAAACATGTGCACACTTCTGAACTCACCTGTAAGCAAATTACCATTCCTACAGCACTTGTTTGCTAGGAGAGGCCAGGACTAGAATAGTTACGATTCCCCATCCAGACAGCAGTTCAGTAGTGTCAGAAATGAAATACAGTGCAATTAGTTTTCACATCCTGTATAGCTACATTTTAAGACAAAACTGGCACAGATACTGATTGGAAGAGTTTCCTGTCTCCATGCAATCCACACTCTGGCAACAACCACAGTCCACAGAGTGGTGTACTGGGGCACATGGAGTGAATGGGATCTCACCAGCCATTATTTTGCACGGTGCCAGTAGCTGCTGCTGCTCGAGCCAGCATATTTCTGTGTGCCTCAGAAGCAGAAGAAAAAGTCCCATTTATCACATGCACTGGCAGCATTCGCCTCCTGCCAGGCTGAGGGGTGTAGCTGTTCTCTCGCCAGTCTTCTTCTGGAGGCATATCTACTCTCCTTGGACCCGGGGCCTTCACACAAGAGGGGGGCACAGGGCAACCTTGAGAAGCACCAGGATCCCAAGAAGGCTCACGTGGTATTCTTAAAGTGCTGTAGTCTGTGCTGGCTGGTAGTCTGCAACCGATGGCACAAGATTCATGCATGTGACGCTGTGAAGGCTGCTGGAGGAAGCCTTCCTGTAAACTCTTGCCTGACTGGCCGGCATGTTTCCCCCAGAGCATTGTTCGCTTATCTGGTAAGGTGGCTGTTTGTGCGGCAGGATAACTTGTGTTCAAACGGCCAGAGACACTTGATGCTCCACCTCCTAAATGCAAATTAGGAAGAGGCTTTTGCCCCTGGGAAAGGGTGCCTTTGGGTACACAAGGGAGACTCCCACAGCTCAGTGCCACACCTGGGTAGTCTTCACCTTGGAAAGCTTCACCCCTGTCAGGCACAACCAGAAGTTTCTGGATGATGTTCTTCTGATCTCCTGAAATAAAATTTTTTAGAAAAGGTTTGCTTAGTTGTAATTTTTGTTTTATCCTCTCTGAACTATCAGCTGTGGCCAGCAGGTGACAGAACAATGAAATCACTAGTACATCCAGTTACTGGCTGACATGCAATTCTGAATAAAAGCTAGCTGTACCTTTTCCAGCATTCATTTTCCTCACTGCATTTCCTCTCCTTATCCTACTGCAGCTGCTGTCACATATTTCTTTACTAGCCCCTTGTTTCATCATAGAGGAGCCCAACAAAGCATTCCAAGGCTGGTAGATCAAACTGGTTTTGATGCTGTCACAGGAAAATAATTCTCATGCAGGAAGTAGTTATTTCTACTGGCACATGTAGGAATGAGTAACATGTGGGAATGAGTAACTTGTGGAATTACTCTTATACATGGCAACAAGGTGGTGGGTCTTATTACTACTTTAACATTAAAGTAAATAACTCATAAAAATATTGATATGACTTTGTATAAAGCCATCACAATGTTTCCATAAAGGTTATTGGCCTCGGTTACGCACATTTAGCACAGAACCAGAGAAAAATTCTGAAGGACAGAGAAGAAGAAACATGATTTGTCCTTCTAGATTTGTGGAGGAATTCAGGCAGATAGTGAAAATCCATTATCAAAGACAAGAACGGAGGAGCTGTATTTCAGCAATATTTCTGATCACGAAGAAGGATGAAAAGTCCTGTGATTATTACCTGACAGTTTACGTGCCTTGCCCACCATGCTGGGCATCAGTACATCATGGGGTGGGTGCTGCACCTGGTTTGGGTTGTGCTGGGGATCAAAGGGAAATACAGGAGGATCATGGGGGAAAGGAAGGGAAGTGGAGCTGGAAGAACGGTGGCTGGTGTCCACTGGCATTTTCCTCGTATTTGGTGCTTCCTTTTGTAAAATGAGAAAGGAGAAGAACAGAACATAAAATGATGAGTAAACACAGAGTTGGGTTGAAACAAGCAAAGGTGGTGTTGATCCAGGGAAGAAAGAGATGAGTCACTGGAACAAAAACATGCATCTCTATGTGAAAAAGACAGACAAAAATTGCATCAATCCAGTAATGCTCTTACTGAAGTAGTGGGCTACATAGGATCATTAGACTGGAATTGTAACAAAAACAAAAAGCCAGAACAAACACAAACCACTCCTGGGGATTTGGCTGATGAACTGAATACACAAAACAATTTCAGGCCAGTCAGAATTGTAAATGGTATGCTACACAAGCCATGAAATATAGTATTGCTGATGCTTCCTTTCCATTTTCTACCAGGCTTCACTGAAAGCTCTGATTCCAGACTCTGAACAGATTTACCTGTGCTGTACCATTTGCCTCTATTAGGAGATACCTACCCCAAAAAGCAGGGATGGCTGAATGGCACAACAACAAACCATCACAGACTTGAGTGCAGTGCCATACTTGAAACAAACAACTATCCTGCTGGCTGCTTGTGTTGTGGGGATAGAAACCTTAGCAGAAAGAGCACGTCTTGGACAGCTAGAGGTTTGTAATGGCTTCTGCCAGCACTTCCAGGTATATGAGAGCCCTTAACTAAAACATGCTGAGGAGTAAACTCATCGAAGTTGACATATACTTAGTTTATGTTACACAGCACAGAGGTACAATTGGACCAACCTGTCTAACTGATTTTGCAACTGAGACTCTTCTACAACTGTTACAGAGTTGGTTTCAAATAAAAGCTTGTGTAGAGTTTGCAAAAAATTCAGTCCAAGCCAAAAGCTGGCATTATATCTAGCTATATTGCTAAACACTATTACTGTTTTTCTGACACTTTTAAATTGCATCTAAGACTACTTAACAAGGAGGACAAAGGAAATATCAATCCCCTTACTTTTAGTCATTTTCTGTATGTAACTGCTTACACCAAATCTTGAATTGTCTCCCCTTTAATGTTTACTTTTACTCTTTAAAAATGCTATTTGCTTAATAAACTCGCAAGAGAGCAGAAACTTTTCTTTTGATACTGGTGGGTTTTTTTTAAATTATAGGTGTATGAGAAGCTTTCCTGAAAATACTCTAAGTCAACTGAAAAAAATGTTTATAGTAGTTGTTTCGCATACTGGCAAGTAATGACATGCCAATCAGCTGCAGCAGCCAGCACTCTGCAATGATACCTGAAGAAGACAGCTTTGCTACTTATATAAAAGTTCATTCTTCTTCCAAAGACAGAACAAAAGAGACAGGCTTTTAACATGGCTTATTATTGAGTTGTCTTCTGTCTTGTTTGTTAACCAATAAATAAAGACAGAGAAAACAGCAACCCTACACACAAATGAAAGCTCTTTGGAAAGCTGCACAACATTCTACTTACAAAACTGTGAGAAGAGACCAAGGTCTCTTCTCTGTTTGACATAACTGTCCCACTGAGACTGCGAGCAATACGACGGAAATTCTCTGCACTGTATATTTCCTCCTCTTCTGGCTCCCTGCTATGTTCTCTGGTATATGTGACCTGCAGACAATATCATACATTTCAGACAAGGTTTTCATAACATCAATTTTATACGGTAATTACAGGCAATGGATGAATAGAAATATAATGGAGCATACTTCAATGATATTTAATGACCTCTTCTTTTCTGAAATCCTTCATTCAGGTCCTACTTTGAAAACTTAAGATAAAAATGGTCTGTTTGGATCTACTGATTAAAAGAATTATTCCTTATAGTATTTCTTCTCTTAGTAAATATACACAGATTGATTTGTCTGAATGAGATAGGTTCTTTTATAAGTATCTAAAGTCAGGACAAAATGTCTTTAGTCGGATGAATCTACCTAAAGGACTGACTGCTGCTACAGGCATCGCTGCCCCTGGAGAGACAATCATGGCTGCAGCTGACAGTCATCTTATGATAAAATACTACAGTCTTCTCATATTAAAAAAAAAAAAAAATCCTAGGAGTATTTGATGAATGCTGGAAGCTTGTTAACTTTATGCTAGCAAGGGAAATGTTTATTCTATCTTTCCTCTCTTTTGTTCTACAGAAGAACAAAATCTGAGTTCCCTTTAACAAGTACAGAGATATTACACGAAATGTCATTTCCCCTTGAAAATACTTCCATGTCTTCCTATACAGGCAGTTATATGTAACTGCCAGTTACTTAAACAGTTTCTTCCCAGGAAAAAAATGAGAATCTTCTCCCACTCTGAGGTGACTAACCACTAACTGTAGCAAATACCAAATTATCACCCACTTTAAAAATATGTACTGACACAGTGGAAAAAAAAAAAAAAAAAGAGCCTGAGCCCTTGCAAGTGGTAAAATTAAGAAGCAGTTATCATCAGTTGTGATGCAAGGGAATCCATGTCACTAAGCTGAAAGAGACTAGATCTTAATGTTTTCAGGAGTGTGTTCCTCCATGCCAGAATTTAGATAATTTGATTGCATGCAGCATGAATAATTCATATTTTAGCTAGTTAATCATGAGCTAAACTGCATTTAAAATTCAAAGATTAATATCAATGACCACAATACCTTTTTCATTTTCCACTTCACTTATGCCACTGTAAATTCTTTCTTGCACAGGGCAAGCCCTTCCCCCTCTAGTACATCTTAAGTACCAAAATGTCACCTTGGAGGCAGAAGAGACAGTGGATCCACACAGACTGCGCTCGATCTCTGCCGTTGGGGTTTTCGACAGACCCATGCCAGCTGTAGCAGGCAGCTTCTTCACACTCGGGTTCACAGAGACTGGGAAGGAAAACACTGATTAAATTCAACACCTGACTGCATGTTATGGCACATTTCTGACTACCTTAGGTCTGACTCCAGCAAAGACAGAGGGACTATACACACAGAACAAGAAGTCACAGATCCTTGGAACATGAATACATCAGTTAACACCCAACATTTCAAGGGGAGACAGCCTATCAGGATACTATGCCTACTTCCCTGGCCCTTCTGCAGGCTTCAGGGGAGCAGTTAATTGAACTACTTAAGATTTAAATTATTTAACTGCACACCAACACTCGCCTGATACAGAGGTGAGATTGTTTAGAGGGCCCAAAAAGACGAAAAATAAGCTTCCAGAAGGAAGTTACTTAAAGTTATTTGGGATAAAAAAGTCAGCCCCGGTTCCCTCCCCACACATTTACCTGCTCCTTCCCATTCAATGCTACAGTTTCTCAGCCACTCGCTGTACTGGTTAATTAGTTGAAAGTGTTATTTTTAATTAGGATTGCTACAATCCACTTGAGTGCAATCCCCATCAACCAGTTACAATCCTAAAATTTCTCATGGAATAGACAGATCAATGGCCTAATTTAAACCAGTCTCAGGGAGTTAGTTCCTCTAAAAAGGAAGAAATATGCTGATAATGCCACATTTTCTGCATTGAGGTGGTTGCATTTGGCTTGGCTTTAACTGTGCTGTAAAGCCCCTCTCATGAAACAAAGGCATTTCACCATGATTCTGAATGCAAGGGTCTGAAAAAACCAGTGGATATGGGTCAAAGTTCCAACAGCATTTGAAAATGAATATGTAATCCAAGTTAAGAGAAAGAAAGAGCAGTCCTAGACCTAGGATTAGGTTGAAAACAATCAGGTGATTTTCATCCAGTTCATCACAGTAGATGCACTAGTTCAAACTTTTCAGTTTTATACGGAATTTGCAGAACTTAGGAAAACCTAACTGAAAGTTACAGCAAACCAGAAAATCTCAAATACATACTTCACTTAAGAAGAATAACCCTATCTCATATCATATATATGGTGGGAAAATGGGCAAGAAAATAAGAAATGGGTCATTTGATGACAGAACTCTGGAACTCCAGCTACCACTAAAGCAACTGGACTTTATGATGGTAGATTTCCAGAAAGAACTTCCAAAACCAGACAGTTAAGTAGGAATATACAAGACCTTCTGATTCAAGCCCATGCAAGACAGTATCTGCAAAGTTGTGAAGTCAGATCCTGCCTGACTCTGAAATTAAACCAAAAGGATAACAAACGATAAATGGCCACATTTTGATGTCTTAACTGGTCTGCGAGTGGACTGCAAGACACAAGAGTTCCAGAGAAAACTCAAGGTGTTCAAAAAAAACCTGCTCAAGACTTTACTGCAGTACTCACTCTGGTCACAGCCAGGTCTGACATTGTCAGGAATGATGGGGGCTCCATCGCCATGGCTGCAGGGCAGGGGAAAACCTGCCCTGTGTATGCACTGCAATATACATCATATGTGTACAGCTAGATCTGTGTCCCTTTGGTACCCATTCAATTTCAGGGTGCCTTGTATTTAACCAGAAAATTCATAGCTTTAATACTGTGACACAGATTACAAAGAAATTTGCTTCCCTTGCGGAGTAGAGAAACAAGGTTGCCTTATCTCAGGCAGATTAGATCAGCTAAAATGGAACCCGACTGCTGTCATCAGACTAACTGAATGTCTCCAGCAACAGCTGGATGTTCTCACTGATGGAATCTGTTCATTTTCTTTCAGCACCAACTACTCCACAAGGTCTCATGGATCCTCATGTACCCTCAGTGCTGCTTTCAAAAGTAACCCTCCAGAACTTAAAGCAGACAGTCCCTAGCAAAACACAGGTTCAACTCTCAGATCTTGATAAACTTTAAGAAGTTATTTCCCTCAACCAGATACAGACCAAATTCTCAATTACAACACAATCAGATAAAATTCACCAATGTGGAGAATATTAACATGAGGGATAGAAACAGTTTTAATAAATTCCAGAGGGGATGCAGGACTTTCAAACAACGAAATTCCTTAGCCTGACATGAGCAGCTAGCTCTCTACTTGAAAGCAGGATCAATTTTTTCTATGTTACTCTTAACAGATGTTTGTCATGATCAACAGCTACTCTGCAGCCACCCCAGGCAGTGCTATCACATTGCTTTCTCCAGTTAGCTGGAAAGTTTCCAGAGTCTACAACCTGAATTTTTCTGCATCTGTGCACAAATTAATACCCGTTTAATTAAATCGACTAGAAAATGCATCTTCACCTACACTGCAGTAAATAGGCAGGTCAACCAAGAAAAACAACTGCATCATTCTTACCTGATTGGTCAAATGGATACCTAGCACTGTCCTGTCTTCCCAAGAAAGGCCTAGCGGCCTGAGATGCCTGCAGACTAGTCTGATAGAGGGATTCCAGTTCTGAGAGCTCCTGTTCTGTGTCTTGATTCCACTGTGGATGCAGGTGTACTGGGATCCTGCTCAAGTCATCTCCAACTGCTCTCTGATCAGAAAGGAGTGGACTCCTCCCAGGTACAGGAAGCCATTCAGTATTCTTATTAGCCTTCTGAGAACTGTAATACCTAGTAACATTATTCACCCAGCGGTCCATAGGCACAGAGGCAACCATGCTACTAGCAGCTTCATCATCCACCTCTTTCATTCCTCCATCATGACAGTGCCTTTCCACGTAGGGTACAGGGTCTGCTATGTTCTGTCCACCTCTTCTACACAGTTCTTCACTGTGAGAACAAAAACTCATAGAAGCAACATGTTGGGCACTAAAACCCCTCAAAGAAACTACCCCATCCCTAATATCCATAGTTGAGTGTAATTTTTCAGAAGACTGGTTTTTGTTTTCTTGGTTTTGATGGATTAGCTGTCTGTAACCGGAAGATGAATGGTTGATGAAAGATTTTTGTGTTAACTTTGGAGACTTCTCATCCTGACACACTGCAGTAATCCAGTCTTTTTCACGAGTACCTTTTCTCTGGGAGACTGTATGCATTTTCTGAAACTGCTCTGCCAAGGAGCGAACGTGTCCCTTTGTACTAAAAGCCTCAGATTTACAACCGTCTGCTGTGCCATATTCACCCTGTGAGGGAAATAAAATCTCCTGGCTGTTTGCTCTGTAGGACTTATGTTTCTGCAAAGGATCCGAGGAGCACTGCTGTGTAGGGGATGAAGTTGCAGGGGCCACTGCATGGTAGGCCCCTAAAAGATCAATGCTGGGCCGCACTGGAGAGCTTGCAAGTTTGGAACAAGGACTGTGCTGGCTGTCCTTTTCGGGAGATGCTGCTTGTGGTGGATGTGGACAGGGAAACAGCATAGGCAAAGACCCAGAGTTTACTGTGTTAGCCTTGGATTGGTACTGAGGTGTGAGAACAGGCACTATGTTATGAACCTCTTCTAACTTGCTGCTACTGCAGCAATCCCTATAGTCTTTTAGCCCTGTGGCTGTTGTGTCAGCAAATTCCCCACTCCTGTGGGCTTCATTCTCAGTTCTTGCAGACCTCTCTGCCAACCCTTGCCTATAGGGAAAAGAGGGAACTTGGTCATGAAAATCAGCAGAAGCAGACTGGAAGTTTGGAGAGATCCTGTTGGATGAATTGCTTTCAGAAGGGGGCAAGGAGGAAGACTCTGGATATAATGATGAGTGCAATTCATGGCAGGAAGCAGGTGGGTGGAAGAAAGAACTGGACCCAAATTCCACTTCTTTGTTGGGTTCCAGTGGTACCTCCTGGCTCAGCAGTACTTGGAGCGGGCCAGTCTGTTCACTAAAACACACAGAAGAGTAATTGATTAGCAGAAGTCATTGCTTATGTTTATTCCTAGGGTACAGACCTTGCACTACCTGGCATACAGCTCAACATACTTTGCTCACTGTACTCTGATGAAGACTTTGCATTAATTCACTAGACACATTTGTGTTAGTCCTTTGCTTCTAACTTTGTTTTCCTACTCTAACAATCTAACTGAATCAATTTCATATTTTTAAGAGTACTTTGCTACAATTAGGCTCTATATGAAGTATTCTTGTACAGCACTAGAGGCATTTCAACCAGTACACTGAGTATGTGAGAAGGAATAACTAAGAAGAGTAAGAATAGCATTTATATAAAATAAAATAACCGTTTCCAACAGTAACATCTTAAATATATTTTAAAATACTTTGGGCATGTTTGTGATCTGAACATGAACTGACAGTATTTCTGTAAGGTCCCCTCTCTCCAGGGGAATTTAATGAAGAATGACCTGACAAATGGAAGAACAGGTTGAAATTTTTCTCATATCATTTTTATAGTCTCATTTTTTGAGACTAAATAAAATTTAGTATTTATTATATATATAATTTTTTATTAATTTAATAAAAACATTAAATACATCTCAAGCTAAACACATAACTATTACTCTGCAATAACTTGTATCTTAAGCATACTTCTTGAAAATAATATTCATTAAGTATCAATGCAAGACAGTTATATTCTTGAGTCATACATGTCCCTGGCAATTTTCTGCATTTAGTTAGCATTTTAATATACAGACAGAACAAACGCTTCTAAGTCCACAGCCTATGAGAAAATGGCAGGCTACACCAGCTTCAGCAGAAAACTTAAGGCAACTATAAAATTACTGCTTTGTTTCCTCCTTGAGATGCATGGAATGAAAGTTAACATGAAGTCCTAGTTGATGTGTGTAGTAACAGAGTATTATTTGTGAGGAATTGCAATCTTTGTACTCTCTACAATGTTATTTGTATCAAAGCTGAGTACAGAACTCTGACTACGAAGAGGGTTTCTTTTTCCTTGACTGAAATGTTAACATTCAGGTGGATAAAACATTTTGCAAAAAAACCCGCTCTTTTCACGGAGCAGCCATGAGTGAATTTAGCATTAGCAAAACTAGTTAAGAAAGTGCCTTTCATTTTCTTAGAATCTGCCAAAATGCCTAATTTTGAGCTCTGCATTTCTCCTGTAAGAGAGAATATAATGGACCCTTGATTGACAACAAGATCAGCTTTCATTACATGTAATTCAGGTACTGCAGGAAAATAAAAGAATGTTATGAACTACAGCCTGGCAGGTGTGCAAATTAGCTGGGTTTGTATATAGCTGTAGCCAGCATTTTACAGAAAGGAACAGAAAAATTATTCTCATCCAAGATTTTATCTAAGCTTCTGGTAATACAACATGTAAAAAAGGGGAGAGGGGAAAAAAAAGTAACAGTTCAAGAAATAGCCTAGAAATTGGATAGGGATGGTCTAGTGCTAGGAGGGAATGGCATGGGAAGAAAGAAGGATTAAGTTGCATGCTAAAGACAGTAGGAAGAAAGGATCAGTTATAGCAGAGAGTTAATTATGCTGTAGTTAAAGTCAGAATGGAAGAAAGAATCATGAAGAGACACTGAGGAGGGCTGGTAAGCCAGGCTACAGGATGCTAGGAAGCACAGAAAGAAAATGAAGAATGATGGAGTAGTCAAGGTGACGGGATCAGGATCTGGATTCAAGAGTTGTACCAGTGCACCACTAAGAGAAGTGGACTAGAAAGAAAAGATCAGTGTACTCAACAGGTTTCAAACTACAGAGCACTAAACACACTGGCTGATGTTCCCAGAAAAAAAGCAACTATAGCAAAATTTTGACTGTAGTACAGTCTTTTACTGACTGAGTCCTGAAACTGCTCCTGATTATAAACAGTCACATTTCATTCTAATTTATCCCCACTTTTTTTAGCCAGATTATTGTCTATTGTATTTTTTCCTTTAGTGCATGAGACATCAATACTGCCAGGCACTGACTGCTACAATTCTGTGTCACAGATCACATTCTGAACACATGCACATTGGACTATTCTATAAAGACTGGGAGAAAGGGTGGTGGGGAGGGGGAAAATGGGGTAGTTGACTGTTTTATAATAGATTTAACCTAGAGAAGAAAAAAAACAGGTGTAACACAGTAGGACTTGGACTCTCTGGGGAATATACATAGTTTGCTACTTCTTTCCAGACTGCGCTGCTCACAGACGCAGCCCAGGTCCGTGCCTAGGCGAGGTACTCGCACTACCTTGTAGACTGGGCCATGGTGCCGCCCTGGGGTGGGTGGCAGGCTGGCGGAGGCAGCGGCTGCGGTGGCTGTTGGTGCTGCATGCGATCCTGGAGGCTCCGGGCTTTTCGGATACTGATTTGCAGCTTCTTATCGACTAGGGCTCTGCTGTGAGTGCTAGCGCTGGCATCATGCATGGCAAGTCTTAGTTTAGCTAAAATGCAAAAGAAAACATAGCAGAAAACAAACAGAAAAAAGGAATAAAATTGAAAAAGAAAAAAAAAAGGAAAAAAGATGCAGCAGGAACAAAAAACATGGACCATGCAAATACTGCCACAAAAGAATTCACAAGGATGCTACTGTTTCCATTAATGCACATTCAGCTTAGCCAGGAGTACAAACATATTAACTGAAACTAAACCAAAATAAAATAAAAATAATATCCTTGTTTTAGCCCAATTTCTCATCCCTTCATACAGGCTCTTTGCAGCCCTACTACAATGATGCTTCATTCTGTCAGGTACTCTTCTCCTGCATTCTCCATACCTGGGACTCCCTTTGTGTGCAGGAATACCCAGCTGGGATTTGAGATTCCTTGCTGGAAAGAAAGCTAATAGAGCTGTTACTACAGCTGTATGCTGCACCCTTTATTCTGTAGTCCATAAAAGCCAATTTCTAAATGAAAACAGCACAGGAGCTACTCACCCTGTCTGCAGCCATTCTACACAGACAGAGGGGAGCATGGGGTGAGACAGCCAGCCAATCATAATGGAAAAACACCAAAAAAAAAATGAAACCACATAGCACACATTCTCAAAGGTCACAATGCATTTAAGCACTTCAATGTCCTAATGCTTTTTTCTTCATGAAAATTAATGTACAGCATAGTTCACTTCTGCTAATCCAAAAGACTCTAAAGTGGGCTAACATTTTCTTCCTATGCTATACCCTCCATGAAAAACAGGGGAGCTTAATGACCTTTGCAATTTGGCCTGATGATGTAGAAAAATTGAGTGGCAAGGGGAACCACCTACCAGGTGCTTGCAGAAACATTAACAGTTAGCACCAAAAAGGGCACATCAGCACCCCAGTGCTATTATTACCTTAGCACTGGAGAGAACAACAAAATGAATGCAAACATGAAAAAACAGAGATGAAGAGGAATAGGACTAAAACTCCCAAATGGGAATGTTTATAACAATGAAAAATTCTGTCTAGCTGCATGTTCCTAATGAGCAGCTGGACCCCCATATCACGACCTGACCACTTACTGTGATGTGGCGTTTCAGACTCTATTCTGTATTAGTAAACAGTCAAAGCGCAGTAGCTCAGGCGGTTAAGGTTACTTACATATAGCTTCGTTACAGAGAGCCAAAGCTGCAGCACAATCCCCCTTCTGCTCCTGATTCAGCGACTCTTCAAAGATTGAGTCTGCCTCCTGCATCGACTTCTCAAAGCCATCACTCCTCCCTGTAAATGGGCAGCACCCTTCATTTTGGTTTCATTATTGCAGAACCCTCACTTACCCTCATCCCATTTGTGATCACCAAGTCCTTCCACACACGGATTCTTGCAGAAGCTGTGCATATCCCAGACTGCACCACCTAAACTTCCCTAAGCAGAAGTACATCTTGAGCACCCTGATATGCTTGACATGCACACAGTAAAACTACCTGAAATGGATTTTTTTTCCCTCAAGTTTTCTTTAGTTGAGAAAGTTGTACTGGCTTATTCTACTATTTTCAATGTTTTAAGTCAGTATAAGAGATGGTACAGACATAGAACAGAGTCAGTTCAAATTACTTTGGTCAAGAAGGAATTAAAACTAAATTTAGAACCAAATAAAATGTATCAGTAAAAGAAATATAGCAGATTAGGTTTTTTTCATAGTATGTTAAGTTTCCTGATAAAATACATTTGTCTCTTCTTCATTAAAACGGAAACAAACTGAGACATGTCTGGGGAAGACAACTCGGAGTTGAGTGTGAACATAAATGCCTACATTAAATACTTCTATAAACAAGTGTAGTGCATACACTTAACTGCTGTAAGTCAGAATATAAAAACCCAACAGTCTTGCAACCTGAAAAACAAGGTGATGGAAGCTGAGAAGAAAGGGACAACTGTCAAGAATTCCTTTTGCAACGATTTACAAAACAGTGTTGGAGAAGAGAAGGATAAATCATTCTGGACACAAAAAGAAACTGCGTCCTGGCATCATAACATAAATTTCTGAGAAGAAGAAATGCTCAAACTATTTTGTGTCACCTATTAGGTATTATGCAAATTATGCACTAGAAAGTAAACATTCAAATGAGGCAGGGAAAAAAGAAAATAAAACTTGACTTTTACTTTGTTTAGGGGTAGGTCCTTTTTAATGGAACGTGTCTGTCACTGTGGCAGAAAACGTGAGTACCTTTATCAGCCAACAGTAAATTACATTCTCTCAATCTGCATAACACATGCTGTGGTCTGACCTGCTCCCTAGCACTGCTGTGCACAGATGTAAATACAAACTCTTTTACACCAAAGAACCTGCATTAAAAGCTAGTACTGGAGAGAGAATGAGAGTTGTTAGAGCAGTAAGTTAATCAAGCAGCACCTTCAGTTTCAAAATCAAGGCATCTGAGGCTTGTAATCAAGGACTGAATACTAAAGTTAGCTTTCTTTGCATGAATTTAGCAGTTTACTTGAGGGGAAAATGAGTCACAAGTGTTCTGGAGTTCTGCATACAAGCAAGTCCTCCAGGCAGTCCAGCAGTCTGTTAAGCTATTATATCTCTGACTGGGAGGGGGAAAAACTTAAAAAGAATAAACAAAGGCTTCCCTAGATCTCAGGTCAATGCATCTGAACTCCTCAAACATTCTACCAAATTCTTTTCTGATTACGCATTAGCCTAGTTTACTTTATTTCCATCAACTAATAGAATAGATCAAAAAGAGGGGTAAAATACTAGAGAATACGCTGTTTTCTTTCATGCAGGAGAAGCAAGGAAGACAACATGCTCAGCAATAGACATTTACTTTTCAATTTTAAAATCACTGGCATTTATACTACAAAAGTAAACACTACACTAATAGAAAAATATATCCATCTACTCTGGTACATCAGAATTTTTCACCTGGTTACCAGCATGCCACAGTAGGACTGTAAAGGATTATTGATGGTCATCAAAAATTATAGAAACATTCCCAGTCAGACATGCTCATGGAGATCATATTGTTCAGCTGCCACTGGCACAGCATCATTCTGCCTGCTGAGCAGTTGGCATGGCTGTATGTTGCAAAGCACAGTTGGGATTGTGTCCAAAACTGGCACTGCTGTGGGCTTGCACCTCTCCTTCCTCTCCTTGAGCAGCGAACCAACAACCTCAACTCTTTTCTACAGCAGGCTGGAGGATGTAGCGAGGAGATGCCAGGAGGCCTGGCAACACAGGATACCACAGCAGGACTGCCCTGACCATACATACTTTTGTTGGACAGAGCCCAGGTATTCACTGGCTCTGCTCAGCCTCCAACACTCCCCAGTTAAGTGTTCCAGCAGGTTTCAAGGCTCACTCTTGACTGGATCAGTGCACTTTATCCCACCTTTCTCCTGAATCCTCTTACTGGCTGATAGAGATTCAGGGCTAATACAAAGTATTACATGTGAATCCTGTCCTGTTCCCTCTGCTCCAGTTGCATCCTTCCAATTAAACCTGTTTTGCTGCCATCTCCTGCCAGAAAGATAAGGTGTCATGGAAAAGACAATCAAACTTAGATTTTGGTTTTTAATTATTTAAAAATTCTTTTTCCTTAGAAAAATATAGGCAACCTAAATCCAGTTCAGCTTTTCAATTAGATCCAGCCAGAGTACTTGCCCCAACACCTGTACCGTTGGTGCACAGCCAGGCAGGGAGAAAGACTGCAAAGTACAAGGGCAGGAACAAACAGAACTGCTAAGGGCTGCAAAGGTACTAAAGTCAAGCAGAAACAGAACAATAGTTTATATTAACCACTTCTGCTGCAAGTGGAGCTGAGGTGTCTGAAAGGGAAAAACAGCAGCCTTGCTCATTCCAAGATGCTGGTTAAAGGCTTACAGCTAAATCAAGGCATCAATACTATCAACAGTGTATATCACTGAAAAAATGGAAAAATGCAGATATATTCAGAATATCTCTACATTACTTTGCTTTTTCATTTAAGGAGAAATTTGATCAAAATACCAAGCAGTTTTTTAACTTTCTATAGGTTTGAAATGGATAATATTTCACCTCCTGAAGGTACAAAACTGTAATGGGGGGTGGATTTGGAGACACACACACATTAAGTCAGGAAATTACATTCAAAGGTTCAAAAAACTTCAGCACTACCATCTTGCAAAATGTGCTGTATTCAAAGGTTACCCTGATTCTGCAGTTCATCTAGATCCATGAACCTGCTGGGACGGGGATTAAAGCCCATTGCGGCCTCCATTTCCTTTTCTCTTTTTCTGCGTAGTTCTTGCTCATGTGCTCTCCTTGTCACTTCTTCCTGCAATTCATCCAGCTCACTCTTTAGAGGAGCAAAGATTTCTCCACCTTCAAAACAAACAAATGTCTTTGATATCTGTACCTCTTAAAGTATCCCTTAAAAGACAAGGAGAGTAAAATTAACATTAGGTAATAACAGTCTAAGAGACCACAGAACTGTAAAACATAAATTTTGTTTTGTTAAGTTTTACTTATAAAAATATACTAGTGCTTCAAGCTCCCCTGCAGCACAGCCCATGGATTCACTGACTCATGAAAACAGCATATACAACAGAAAGAATCATTGGAAGAAATAACCCTAAGCTGATGATAAAATCTTGAGGCTTCTTACTGTGTTTATAACTTGTAAATAAAGCTATGTCAAATCAGCCAGATCACTAGCTCATAGAAGTTAAATGGATTCCATTGAGATGTTTTTCACCTAACTGCACAAAGTGGATGAAAATCGGAGGAAAATAAAGCACCTCAGTATTCTACACAACAGAAATTCATCAGTTCTCATTATCAGTCCAACTATTACTGGTATTCAGAAAGTGTCTCCCCTGCTGCCTTTCCCTTCCCTCTCTGGAATAAAGTATTTGCTTAGAATTATATATAAGTAGAAAAGCTTAGCCTCAGCCCAAACAGCTTGTAATAGAACATTCCCAGTTCTAACAGTTTTGAATTTTGTACAGAATTACAAGCTGTGTTTCAGGACTCTACTAAGTTATGAGCTATGCTTGGGAAGGTTTCTTTGACTGATGGCAGAATATTGAGTTATAAGAAAGAATAGGAAAAAATAGCTTTATTTTATCATTTAAGTGAATACATGAAAGACATGCCAGAGCAACATGATCAAAGGAGTATTTCAACAAAGGTTTTTGCAATCCCCTTTAGTAAATCTTATAATTATTTATTATAAAACTGTTATGTTCTTAAAAGTTGTTTTTCTCTTATATTTTTTCTGTGAACATTAACATCCAGAAAGTAAAGAACAACTTGATACATTTTACCTTGCATAACCACCCCTACAAAGTGTATCTTACCATTTCCCATGGTGTGTGGACTGTTTGTCCAGCTCCCAATTGATGAAGCTGACTCCACTTCCAAGATGCTGCTACTGTGAGACTTTGGAATGTTACGCCAAGCAGGAACAAATCCACCTGCTCTCTTCATATGAACATCCCTCCAAAAAGAGAAATTATAGTTTACCATTTGACTAATTTCTCCAGGAAGAACAGTATCTACCTTTTTTGTACCCACACAAACATATACTTCCATTTTAAAGTAATTTTAAAAGAAGTCTACCATAAGAAAATCTTGGGAGAAACATGGGAAGAGAAAGTTAACAAGGAGGACAGTAATTCTATTCTCCTCCATAAGGTGATGCAATTAAAACTGTGGTCCACGAGTTATTCAGAACAGATTCTTACACATTATTTATCGGCCATAAACAGTGCCAATTTGTGGTTACCTGAAGCTTTCTAAGTCAAGGAAAGAAACACATTGTGCTATCTATTTATTTTTACATACAAATATTTCAAGTATGTCTGAAAACAAAGATTTCTATACAAGGCTACTGATTTCTCATTTTGTACAAGGTGTCTATGAATCAATGGTTTAATAGAAACAAAAAGGACTATGCTACTCAAAGTACAAGCTTTTAAATCACAGACAAAGGGCACAGTTATTTCAGATGCATCACTTTAGACCATATTTCCCAGTCATTCAAGCCTCGTCTTTTTCTCTGCTCACCAGCAATAAGTTATTAATATGCTGAGAAGAATAGGCTCCCATTTCCCTAATATTTCTCCCCTGTCCCAATAAAGCTGTATTTAAAACTAGGACCATTGTTTTGCAAAATGTTCCACACCATTATTTAACTACAAAAAAGAAATCAAGACTTCAATCATTCCAAGCATGAATTTTGGTGAAATCTACCTGTGGGTACTTGAGCTTTCAGACAAGGGCATGTCCAGACTAACTGGGCTGTTGCTGTTGCGCTCACTGCTTTCATAGCCAGACTCCATCCTCTGTATTAGATGAGGATGTTGATCCACCACATGGTGCTGGGTGCCCCGGCCCAGCACACCACGCTTGTATCTGACATTTGACTGGCTTGACCTTGTTGTGTGAACAGCGTGTTCCTTCACCTCATTCTCAGCAAGTTCTTTACCTGTCAAGATAAACAGTACAGCTTGGTAGAAGACCTAAGCTTCAATACCAGCAAAACATCCATATATGTTAGCTTCTCAACTATTTTTAAACCAGAAACACCATCCTTAGTTTTTTGTAAAACCTGCAATATAAAGTAAGAAAAATGCAATACTTTTACAGCTTTCCTAGCAATTTTAAGCAATAACCTGTTCACAAATGTATCTTTGAATCTCTCCCCTTTAGTATAACTTACCATATCCCCTCTGAGTTTACAACTAGGTCTGCAATGAAAATCCGTTCTTCCCCATAATAGTTTTTATTTGCACAAGATAATTTTACAATATATCCAATTGCATTTCCAATACTCTGTCATATCTCTTTCAGATGCTCTCATTTTTCACACTGCTTATTTTGCTATTTATGATTTGTTGTGGTTTATACAGAGGACAGGAAAACTTGTTTTTTTTAAATACTCCCTTATACATTTCATGGTCTTTCCACTTAATTCTTGTTTGCGTCTCTTCCTTCTCTGGAGGTGTTTTCTCTTCCCCTTCACCTCTCCTTTACATACTCCTTTTATGTTTCCCAATTATTTTCAATTTTCAAAACCAGCAAAGTCCCCATGTACAAGCCACATAGCTGTAAGATCTTCCCAGATAAATCAACACTGGCTTCCAGGCTCTTATCTTCACAACAAGAACTCTGCACTGATACACAAGGTACATTCTGCACCATACTCTGAGCCATCAAGTAAAAATACCATGATGAGCCAGAGGAAAAACCAGAGCAATACAAAAGCTCACTCCAAAAGACAAACTTCAGACACTTAGTACTATAGCTTGTGACCATTTAAGCAGGGTAGATGGTATTGTTTCCCTTAATTTTTCCTTAGACAGGAAACATAGGACACAGAAATCAAACAGAATTACCACACACGCCATACAAATACCCACACAGGATATAGTCTCCACAGGCATGACTCACCACTGACCTGAATTCCATGTTCAAAATTTCACTTCCCACACATTCTGAAGTAAATCTTTTCAAACTCTTACCTGCTTCTTCAGAGAAAGGGCTAAGCTGAGTGTAGCCACAATGTTTCCTCTTGTCTTTATTGAAGATGCTGTCTATATTCAGAGACTCTCTTTTGGGTCTCCACGTTGGCCGGTACCTACTAGATGAACTGGATTTAGACTCACTACTGGTACTCTCCACTTCCCAGTCTCGGGCATGTGCAGATAGGATTTTTGAGGGTCGTGTTTCTGCCTGATCCACACTATTCCCTCCACAAGGGGAATTCTGGATGGGCTGGGAAATCTGCTGTGGTCTACTGTGGATCATATTGCTCACTGTCTCTTTAAATTCCCTCAGCCTGCTGGTGCTGCTGGATGGTTTGGGGGCAGTTCTGGGGGCTTGTTTCTCCTTCAAGGTTTCCCCTGCAGTTTGTAGAGACAGCAAAAGCCACAAAAATAACTTCAATTAAACTAGCAGCCCTACTTGCAGCATCTTCATGCAGACATTGAGAAGTGCAATCCAAAACAACAAAATTATAATATAAAATCCAACACTCTCTAAACAAACGTCCAACCAAAACAGAACTAAACATCAAAAAGCAAAGAGAGGATTAAATAAAGACAAAAATAGAACTATGAGGGAAATGCACATACACACTGAGAACATTAAAAACATTCAGGAAGATACCGATATTTAAAATAAAGTAACATCTCTTGCCTTCACTGTGGTATCCTGATGACTGAGCCTCATCTCCTTTCCGCCTAGACCGGCTAGAACTCCTCTTGCGGTCTGCCAGCGAGCCCTTCTTTGAAACATGCCTCTGATTGCACTCACTGTCAGTCAGGTGGCCTGGAAGGTGGAAGAACACAGCAGAGATGACAAGACCCTTCAGATCAAGTGTTCACTATGCTAAGAGCAGCAGGACTCTTGCTCCTTAGGAACTGCAGACACTCCAACACTAACTGGCAAGTTAGGTAAGTTTTGGTTTTGTCTTGGAGAGGATGTTCCATTCTTAAGGTCATAAGAGAACAATACAGCCCCTCCACGGACTCCAGTTAATGACAGCTTATCCAAGTGCCAAGGAAAAGGTTGACTCTCCTTTGTCATCTAATAGTCTAAGGACACCACTTTCTTGCTGTCAGTTTTAATGACTATGAACATGAAACTCCTGAGGACAGTTTGCCAGACATTACTCTGCTGAATAAAGACTCAAACACATGAATGAGTTACCATCTAATAATAAAATACTGCACATCATCAGATGCTCTGCACTAACTATTCATCTCTTTGCTTGTAGCAAACACTAAGTAACCTGAGTTAGCCTAGTCTACGGTGAAGAAGCCTCACTTGGCCCTCAAGGGCCAAGCCAGCTAATTCACATCTGCCACAAGCTAAGAGCACACTCACAAACTGTGAACATGGATCAGCTGACACACAACATTCCCTTACTACAGCTTATGTGTCTGACTGACAGTATTTTCTCGTCAACAAAATTTATTCCCCATTTCCTCACATGAAACAGGAATTAAGACTATTTGACATCACAAATTTTCTGTATTGCCTTTGCTCAATTCTATGGTTCTCACACAGTCACAGTCCTAAACCTGCAAGCACAAACACACGCATGGCTTTACTCACGTGAGTAGTCCCAAGCAGAGATGCAGGATAAGAAGGGAATTTATGATAAGCTACAAAGACTTTTTTCTAGCCTTCATATCACTAACTTTTACCCCACACAGGATGATAGGAAATGAAAATTCCTAACAGCAAATAGTGGTCTAACAGCCCCCAAAACTGCATAGCTGGCCCTCCTGAGCCTTTTCCCTGCTCTAGAGATTAGCATCAAAATCAACAACATCAAAAGCAGATTCTACATATAAAATTGTACCTGCAATAGTTAAAAAACCAATTCACTGCAACTACAATTGCTACAAAGATATTACAATAAATGAGTAGGAAGAAATCCAAACAATAAAAAGCAAGCTACATAAGGTTCACTTTTCATTTGCATAGGAAAGAGTGATTTTGTGGCCAAATTTTTTAGAAACAAGCAGACTACATAAAAGAAAAGAAATTAAGGAAGCAAAAGAGAAATGCTGGCAATGAAGATAAAAGATGTGTAGCATTTTGATAATTGAACATAAGTCTGTGCTTTGGTGGATTTTTTTTCCCCCCTTCACAACATCAACTACCACATATCTTTCAGGAACTCCAAGAACAGTCTTATCCTTGCAGTGGTTCCCCTCAAGACAGAAAAGAGTGCCATTTCACTTCAGCATACATAACTTCTCTAGTTAAACATTCCAACCTGATAAAGATTGTTTGGTTAGCATCCTTAACTACCATGAGAGAAACTATCTGACAGTATTTAGTGCTATTAGCACTAGCTGAGGGTTTGCATTGAATAAGGCCCAGCTCAGTCCTTTAGAAGGAGGCCTGCTAACTTTGAATTAATTTTTTCTTCTCCTTTCAAAGACTGCAAATATTGTCCCACTGTCATGAGACATTTAATAGTCATGGAGGAGATGTTAAGAATCAGAAGTCCATAGGACACAGGCTTTGTTGTCTTTATTTGGACACTCTGAAATAAAGACTAAATCCAACATAATGCATAAATACAGGAATTAAAATCCCAAGAATATTAGCTGGCACTTAACACTCACTTTTAAAAATTCACTAAAATAACAATCCAGGCCTTTTGAGCTTCTAACGATGCTTAAAAGTTGTCTCTTGATGGAGGTATCACTTCAATACATCATCTCCTAGACTTGGGATGGCTTCACAAGCAAATGGCAATATTCCAAGGAAAAGTTTGGTTTTGTAGGAGTTGTGTGTGTGTCTAAGAGCATGTCAGAGAAGGAAATGAAATCAAATGGGTTAAGACAGAACAACCTCTACTCCCTCCCCCTGAAATCTCAGTTGCACAAATAGGGCAGCCAGAATACGCACATTTTTCTCAGCAGCACAGGTGGGTAGGAGCAAGAGAGGGCTTATGCAGCCACTCTTCTGCCCTAGGAGCCTGAGGTCATACAACACAATGGTGGAGCTTCCCTGGAGGATGATGTGGGATAGGGTCCATAACTTTCTGGGCTGGAGTACTGGGTAAATGGCCATTAAATGAAGAGTCCTGCTCTTGCCCAGAACGATTCAGTTGACAGGTCAGTGTGGATGGCTTCTTTATAGCCCCACGGATCGCCATTTGATGACAGAGCAGTTGTATTAGTTGGCAGACTGACTTTTTTTGGAAAGATAGCGGGTAGGTAAAAAAAGAGGGGAAATGCCCAGACAAGTGGTTAGCTGAGGAGACAGACTGACTATCACTAAGGCTGAATTGGGGAAGATAAGGACAACTGAATTTAGGTGGAGAAATGGGCTAAGCTGAAGGGAATAACACAGGATAGAATCAATAGGAGAAGAAAGAAAAAGAAGAGGACAAAGTCACTAAAAATGACAGAACAAAAGGTTACATGCTGAAGCTCATGCTTACATGTTTGTGACCATCCCCCTTACTGTCCTTTTCTGCCAACTTCTGCATGGCAAGTTTTGCAGGCAGGAACCTAATCCAATAAACTCTGTGCCATTTTTGCAAACTATTTAAAAAGTATACCACCATGTCTTTCAATTTTGTCTTCTTTGTACTCCAAAGATAAATATACATTTAGTTTCCACATCACTCAATTTCTGCTCCAACTTTTTTTCTTTCTCACATGCTAAGACTATAAGTGGTCCCTACAGCATTAAGTATTTGCTAAAATACTGGGAGGATTGTTGAGCTATCTTAGCCTGTGTATTACAGTTACTCAGACCTCTGATGAAGAATGAAAGAATACTAAATAAAATGAACTTGAAACGTTTTTTTTTTCAGATTTTGATGTACCACAGATTGTTACAAAGGAACCCACTATGATACAAAAGAGGAACAATTTTACAAAAAAAGGACAAAGCAGTCTGACAGCTTTGATACTCTGGTGCAACCTAACAACTGCTGTTTCTACTCTTAGGTCTTCTTAGAAAATCTATTTACAGCACAATAAAGTAACTTTTCAAACAGAAATAGCAGATCCTATTTCTGATGCTACAGAAGTCTGACCTTAACTTATGCACTATTTTTTTAGAAGTGATGTTAGAAGTTACTGCATGCAGAAACAAGCTGACTATGGACACTGGCCATGAATAATTGAGGAGATAAAGTCTTTAGACTTCTAGTTAACCTCTTTTCAACTAAGGAGTGTTAAGGCAGACTGTTCAGCTGCCCAAAGGAACATCAATACAGACTGTCTTCGCACTGGATATTACAGCTTAACTTGCTTCCATGGCACAGGCAGAAAATTATCTTATGTTCCTCACTGGTGCAGTAAATACTACCAGCACTCACACAAAATCGTTAGTTCCCAAGTATGAGGGACTCTGGTGATGAAAGCACCTTTTCTAGACAGCTGCAACTCCTGAAATGAAGTAACTTACCAAACCCTACAACAGGGCCATGCAGACTCCAACTCACAGACTTATATAACAGAGAAGGCAGTATTGTCGATAACAGAAAAACAAATCTATAAATGTTTGTCTGGCTAGACAGAGGTCTACAGAAGCCAACAAGACTTTTAAAGCATTAGGGTTTTTTTTGGTGAATGCCAACTGTTGTTTACAAATCAAAAACTCTGGATATTAAACACTGTCTGCTCTTCTATTAAAGGTTGTGTGTATATATAGAGATATTTTCAACTGGAATCCACTGCAGTCATCTTATCTAGTGACAACGATCACACACAGATGCAATGGTGTCTGCTACCTGTGTCCCTGCTGCTTTGTGAAGCGGCATCATTCTCCACATTGTAGATGACTGTCCCCTGGGAGTCAGAGGAGAAGTGACTGACCACAGACTCATGGTGTGCCTGTTTATAAGCATAGCTGTCTGTAGAGGAGTCTGTCCGGGTATCACTAGAGATGGAAGGTTCTCTCCCTAGAGAAGAAAGAAATGTCAAGGAAGCAATGTCAAATTTCAATCTTTTTCAGCTATTATAAAAGTCAAGAAAGACTAAGAAAAGAGAGCAGGGCAACTGTATAGAAGTTATCAGAAAAATAGAATACCAAAGATACCAACTCGGATTCAAGAACACCAGAGATTATGGGAAAATCTGCTCCTTTGGGAGCATGGAGACAGTGTTATTCCTTCTAAAAACCTGTTTCCTTCTTCCTCTTTTGTAAATTCAAGCTTATAAATATGCAAAATTAAACTACATCCATTGGACTGAAAAGTACACATTGGTACCATACTGAAATTATTGCTCATTTTCAACACTGGGTGCAATTACAATATGAAACACTGCTTTGGGGAAAGTAAAAAAATTACTGAAGTACAAAATATTAATAAGGGTAACAAGAACATCATGTTAGAATAATTAACAGATTTCATCTATTATAAATCAAAAGCTATCTGGTATAAAGTCTGTACTGAAAATACTTTTATCTAAAGCAAAGTACCCTGCTCCTTCTCACGAAGCCAGCATTGATCCCCTACTGAAAAGTATGAAGCATCACGATTCAGTTTCAGTAAAGTAATACTTGAACTCATTAGAAGAGGTGGAAAAGGCAATCTCCTCCCTCCACTTTCAGAAAATAAAAGTAAAAAATCTGAACAGTTTGAAGACTATTGGTAATTTTACACATGTGATGTATACATTCCTTAATACACAGGATATTAGTTTCATACTCATTTCTCAGTAGAGAAATTAAAGAAAAAATATAATAAAGAAGGAAGTCGTTCTTATGTTTAACCTCAAACACTGACCTTGAGGGCTCTTCGCATTTTTTGTGAGAATGAGTCCTGCAGTAAATGTCCTATTTAAGGACAGTTTAGATCTTTGGAAGTCAAAAACTGCAGTTATTGAAGTCATCAGTTAGTGTTCCTCTATACATCCACATCACATCAGGTCCTTCACTTCCCCCATCCCCCAATTTCTTTCTCCAAATTTTTTGGAAAAAACTGCTATCCAAACAATCAACAGTCTTAGAGCAAGAGAAATTCACAAATAAAACGTTGGAAATCATCAGAATTCTTGATCAGCTTTAACAAGCAACAAGGACCCCTGATGACAATAATACACTCCAAAGAAGGAAAACATTTCACGTGCTGTGTTTCAGCATGAAGGTACATGGCACAGAGCCCACACTGCTTACCCGAGTCTTCACTGTCATAGCAAGTCCTGCTATATTGCTGTAAATCCACCTGAGGGGGCAAGTCTTGAGTAGACACTGGAGTTCCTCTTGGATCTGCATAGAGCAGCAGCAAAGGTTGATAGTGACCCTTAATGCACTTTGTCACAACATCTTTCCATTTTGGACCAATCTGGATTGATACCAGGGAAAAAAAAAGAAAAGGGAAAAAAATTGTAAGGTTTTCTGTCATAATTTTCTGTAATAAGTTCTCTTTTCCCCCCATCACAATTCTTTCAGAGTTTGATTTTCCACTGACATACTTTAACACTTTCTATAGCCAGAATTGACCTGGACCCAGCAAGAAAGCCCCTGAGCCAACCAAATTAAAATCCAGATATTCATCATCCTATGGCTAAATTGATTACAATTCCTGCTAAAAATACAACTACAAAAATAATAATTCCCTTTTATATGTTTTTTCCATAAAAAACCTTTCATCCTCTAGGATGTTCTAACACTGCATCAACCAAAAAGCAGAAGAATTTTTAACAAACAAAATGAACAATAAAAGATACCGGGAGAGTAAATTCAAGTCAAAGCAAAATACTTCAAGTGTGTGAACCTTTCTGCTGTGACAGAACCTCTGTAAGCACTGATAGGCAAGGCAGTTAATTCACACAGTAATACAATCCCACAAATCTTTCCCATGAACTAATACAGGTCTCACCTGACAGACTGAACATTTACTCCAATAAATTTGCTCCATACATGATTATTTTACTAAAGCACTGCAGTACCTAACCGTGCCAATTTTTCTGCTATGAAGTATGACTGCATGTATGCATTCAGAGTTTTTTACCCATTGAGACTGTGTTTGGCATGACTACAGGAGAAAATTTCCTCTCTCACCTTTGTGATTCCATTAATAGAAGGAAAAAAGGAGAGTGGTATGAAATAATGTCAAACAATCTAGTGGGTTATAATGTCCTGCCAAGATCCCAGCACTGGTGTCTTTAATGTCAAGGACCTCATGCTTGGTGAAAAGGCTAAAAAAAAGCACTAACAGAAGAGCAGAAAATCTGTTGCTGGCAGCAAGCACTAGGGAAGATTGGCATGTAGACACTCAAGCAGAGATCAACAACAGGCACTAAATAGCCATACTGCTTGTCAGCAAGGGAAAGAGATGGGTGTTACCTGTATGCACAAGCAACTGTACATTTTCAAACAACAGCATAAAAACAAGACTGGGAGCCAAAAGAACTAAGAATAGAGCTTCTGAGATTCCTGGTATGCTTTTTTAAAAAACATTTCACTTTGTTGAGAAAAAAGGAGTAGCAAATTTGTGGATCCTGAGTGGAAAAACCATCAAAAAACCCTCTCAAAATCTGAAGAAAACAGAATGGATTTTATACATAAGCAGCTAACAAATTTCCAAAAGAGTGTTTTCCTAAACATTTTTTTCTCACCTCTTTGACGTGAGCATCATCAAAGTACATCCACTTGCGGATTTTAGTTTGGAAGAAGAAGGTTGAATAGTGTTTTCCATAGTAACAGATCATTCCCACCAAATAAAGCTCTGAGTGTTTTGCTCTGTCATCAGTTACTCTGAAGAAGAGCTTCAAGAAGGGAGGTAAGAAAAACGGAAGGAGAAATTAATAAAGTGCTCAGAATTTTACATACTGTTTTATGTTCAAAGACCTTGAAATACTATAGAGACGTGTCAGGCTTTTATTTCAAAAGATAGAGAAAATGAGGCAATAAGCAATCATGCAATGTTTAAGCAAACCCAGAGACACAGACTAGAAATGGATTCTGACCAACTCACCAGATGCTCATAAACAGAGTAGGACTTGGAATATGTGTATACTTGAAAGAAGACATATACAACAATGATAAAATACCTGTTACATAATTTGAATGAATGAAATTATTTTGGAAATTTGTATTGTGTCATGCTTGCTGATTATATCAAATATTGTTTAAAACATTCATTCCTTTTTGCAGAAACAAAGCGGTTTGGACAGTAAACAGCTAACATTTATTCTGACTTTAGCAAGGGCTATCACGAATTTAGCATAGACCAGTTTATGATGCTAACACATAAAAGATCAACTGAAGACATTAGCAGATCAAAAGAATTCAGCACACAAAAAAATATTTTCTATTTAATTGAATTTTGTTAATTTAAATTGCACAGGTCTCATGTTTTAGTGCATTACTGCTTTACTACACAAAGATCACACTATTTCATAACCACATTTCCATCAGCTCACAGTCATTCTGGTACACTGTGCACTGGGCAATGCTTTTTTTTAAACTTGATGTGTGTATATTTACATATATATATATATAAACTATTTTATGTAGTATCTCAATGCTACAATAAGACACAGCTACAGTTTGGTATACTGATAATTCAGCTCTAAAGCATCAGTTAATGCAGAATAAGTGAATCCCCCAGGGAATCCTATTTAATTCAGTCTGTCATTCAATCACACAGTGCCAGTCACCACCTCTTAGAGACTGTTCAGTCACAAGTAACTCTTCAGTGTTAAAACCACACATTCCACCAAAAAGAGAAGCTAAAGGTAAAAAAACCTACCCCAAAGACTACTGAACTACATTTTGTCTTCAAAAGAAATAGAAATAAACATCTGTTCTTTAAAACGAAAGAGCACATATGTATTTTCATAGAAATAGCACAACCCTGATCCAGAATTTCCTTTCATTTGAAAGTATTTTTAGAGTTTCAGATATTTCAGAAACTCAAGAACATACAGTTCAAAGGTTTTTCTAAGGCTTTCAGAGACAGGTCAGATCCTTGGCTCTGCTCTCTATTCCTCTTTTTATGTATACCAAAAAGGTGAAGGTGGAGACTTTATATTTTTCTCCATTTGCTACTGTAGATAGACTACCCTGAAAAAGACAGTCTTTTTAAGTAGTGCCAAAATAAAAAAAAACTCACATCTCCCAGTTTAAGGCAAGTTCCCAGACTATGAATCACATCCTCAGCCAGATCAGAGTGGTCTGAGTCCCAAACCAAGCCAATGGTGATGATCTGTGGTGAGTTCATCAGCACACGACGAATACGGATCTTTTCCCCGCAGTTACTCTGAGCATATAAATAAAACAAGACACTGAAAATAATTCTTCTCTTATTATAATGTTAGGGCAAGGCACTATCAAGTATAAGTCTCAGAATTACAGCTTCCAAAGAGGAGGTGGTGAGACACAGCAGATATGCTCAGTGCCAAGATAGGAGCTTCTCATGTTATAGATGAGAAGTGCTAGCAAGACTACCCTGCATTCTCAAGCTTTGAAGTGAACACTGCCAATTCTTCCTCCTGCTATTGACAATGTTTAAAACATAGCGCACAAAACCAAGCTTATTTAAAAAAAGATAAGCAAACATACATGAAAGATCCCAGTAACATTCTTAGAAATTTGACTGCAAGGTCACTTTTGATCAGAATCTCAGATTAAAAATTGAATATACAGAGACCAATGCCTTATATGACAGTGTCAGGAAAAAATTTCTGCTTTGCTGAAGAAGCAAAGGTAGTCCTGCTTTGCTGTTAAATTTGAGTGTTTCTACATGGTACCTCAAACATCTCATCTTAGACAGTATAGTTAGATCAGTATTTGTATAAATATGACAATAGCAATTGAAAGATGAGGAGAGGAAGAGTTGTTTTAGTAACTCAAAGGAGTTCTACAATTCTTATTTCCTGTTTCAATTTTTCTTCCCATTTTTTACTTTTTAAATAGGTACCAGTGCACTTTGCAGGGGAGGGGGCTGTCGATGCAACGGAGTGTGGGGAGATGGGGACGGACATGACAAAAATTATGACAAAGTCCATTCGCAACATTCATTTTTCCCCTAAGGCACATCTCAAAGGTACACCTACAAAATGGTAGGAAAAAAACATTTTCATACTGAGAATTGTTTCTCTTGTCTACAGAGTCCAGTTTTACAAGTGGCTATAATAATTTCTGACACTAAAACCAGGGAAGAGATCACAAAGCACCTCTTACCCACAGCAATCTAGAAAATTTAATCAGAATTTCAGTCCCAAACATCATTGAGAGACAAAAATGAAAATTAAAAACAAAGAAAAACTGTAGAGGACTCTGATGTTTAAATGCAGATATGAGGTTTTAATATTAAGATGACTCTTTTTTCACATGTACTTTGAAAGGGTCATTTAAAGTACAAGCAATTCTGTTTATTACCTCCCAACTACCTTACTCTCAAATTGTCTTTGTTTCAGCATGACAGCAGGAACATGCTGAATGTTCCTGATAAAAAGCTTCCTTAGCAAAACTTTGAGGTCACACTTAGCTAAACCTCAATAGAATTTTTTTTTTGAGTATAAAAAGAAAGGGACAGCAAATGCTGGTATGCCATTTTATCCAACTGATTATTTCACAGTCAAATAGCAGTTTGCCCTGACCAAGAATGTGTTCCTATTAAATTTCACATTCTTTGGTTATTAAATAGCTGGATTCATATGTACCTTTTAAACAACAATAAAATATCTTAATTTTTTTTACTTAGATAAGCAAGCCACTATTTGCCAATATTAAAAAGTAGATATTTCAATGGAGACTTTTACTGAAGGTTTCAGAGTTATAAACTGGGAGGGGAGCCAAGTATAAAATGGAAATATTTACACTGGCCCCAGGGACCAGGTACACAAGCCCTCCTGTTAAAGCTAATGCACCTAACAGTAGCATTACATGAAGCAGCAACTCTGCAGCTTTTTCCTGCCCTATCTAATAACCAATATGTAAAAAAAGATTGATAACTCTTTTTGCATATTTATTAAAAGGCAGAAAAAGACACTGAACTCTTATTTTAGAAATCTATCACTTACAATATACATAAAAGGTAAGCATCTATTCCTGTTTTAATACCTGTGGTTAGTCAAAGCAGCACCCATTAGCACTAAGTCTTCCCTTCCCTCCTTCACCCATCCGTGAGACGCTGAGTTCACACCCAGAGAGAACCAAGGCTACTCACTGGACAGTTTCGCAGGTCCCCCATGGTGCTGGCATTCTGCAGGAGCTCTCCAAACATATCTGGAGTTGGTTTCTCCCGCCTCTCCAGCATACAAATAGCTTGATTGCTTCAGTATAGACAAAATAAAGAAAATAGAATTTTAATAATAAAATAAAACCACAAACCCATGCTCATCTAGTATATGTTTCACCTATGTTTTTTTAATAAGAAACTTAAAATGCAGAACACCTTTTATATTTAATAATGTAGTACAGGAAAAAAATCACATAATTAATTGTGAATTACTATATCTTCCATAAAAATACTGCATAAAGAAAACAAGTAGACCTGAAAATAGAAATAGATTGTTTGCTCTAAAGATTGTATCTTAAAAGAAAATTTAAACATTTTGATAAATATTTGGTTTCAAAATAAAATACTTGTTCTAAAATGTGCCACTTTCAATAAGCACAATTATAGTTAAGTAGCACAGAAAGACATATTCTGAATAAAATTACAACCAAAAAATAGCATGGTACTCAATTTATTTCACTGTCCAAACTGAAAGATATGTACACAAGAGAACTAGTGCTCAAAGCATGTTCAAGCTTAAAATGGTTTCAGAGATGAATAAATATATTACTATGTATTTCTAAAATAATGCATGACTTAAGATCTATTGTGATCTTTCCTAAACAGTACTGAATACCATTTATGTAACTATTTTGCCCTTTTTCTAATAAATTGCATTCTTATTTACAGTGTCTGCTGGAACCTAATGGAAACCTGCAGCTTGATGGAACAGCAGGAAGGAGCCACGAGGTGGATGCTTTACAGTACTCTTGCTACACACGTAAAGTGGTACCTTTTAAAAGATCTGCATGTGAAGAGCAACTAGTAGTTTTTCTGTAACTACAGACATCACTGTAGCTACGTATCTCATATGACAGACATAAAACAAAGAAAAGTTCTAATCCCAATAAAGATTTCAAGACAGAAACAAGTAACAGATTCCTGCCTCAATCAGATTTAAAAAGCTTTTAACTTTAAAGAAGACTTCTCCAGCATTAGTTCAAATAATCTGCTACAGACTTAGTGCTCATGCTCTGTGCACCACCTTTAATGAAAGGTCACAGTGACCAGGGAAGTTTCCCTGTAACTAGATTAAACAAGAGCTATATATTCATCCAAGAAAAGAGGATTTGAGCAACTACAGGCTGGTTAGTCTCACTCCACCACCTGGGGCCATGACAGACTAAATCAATCCCCTTGGAAATCAACCCCACGCATGTGAAGGATAAGGTGAGTCAGAGCAGTCAGCACAGATTAACCAAGGGCAAACCATGTTTGACCTCCAGTGAGAACTTCCCTTTCTGCATCTTCCCCTAGTTACTGGGGAACTGTCCTGGTCACCATGAGGGAGGAAAAACCCTTCCAGTTCAGAACTAGAACAGGCAGCCCAGAGAAGTAATGGAATTTCTGTCCTTTAAGCACTTTCAAAACTCAGCTACACACAACCCCAAGCAGCCTGATTTAGCTTTGAGGTTAGCCCTGCTTTAAACAGGAGGATGGAGTAGATGTCCAAAGATCCTTTTGAAAGTAATTTTATTTGTTTTTCTTATCTGTCTTCTTAAATCACCTGCTCACACATTTAAGTCTTTCAAAATGTACATAAGTCCTTGCTACTACAGTTGTCAAGATTCAGAACCCTAAACAAGCAGACACACTGATCCATGCCTAAACTACCATCTTCTGCTTCACTAAATCCTCACGTTCTTTATCACAGTTATCAAAGCTCTGCCAACTTTGACAAATCATATTCTAGACATTTAATCAATAAAGATCATAAAGATCCAACTGCAATACCAGTATGGAGGGAGAAAAAACAGGAAAAAATGGGGAGGTTACCTGTGAAAAATTCAACTCACCAGAGTGAGGTTGTGGAAATATAATGTACCATCTGGATGAAAGGTAACGGGTCAGAGGTGGCACCACAACTGGTACAAACACACTAAAGAGAATATAACACATTGACAATATTAAACAGGTATTTCCACTGCAACACTTCTGCCTGCACATTCCCTTACTGTGGCAATGCATGTTTTAGGCATGAAAACATAAAACTTGAGAACTGGCCCTTGGCATTAAGCACATATCATTACCTCACCTGTTCAAATAAAGTCATTGCAAACTTCTGGTGGGAAACGCAATGTGGTGCAGTGCAAATATCTTCCTTTGTCTCATCTGCAATGTGGAAGTGAATTCGCATTAACAGGTTTTCCTAGCCAAAGGAAAAAAGGGAAAAAATGCATTAGATAATTTCAACTGCAAACAAGAGTTATATAAATCACAAAAGCAACTCAAATGCAATAATCTCACAGACAGAAGACTCCTGCAAATTTGTGAAAGCTGCTTCAAAAACAAAGAAGTTGGTATTTCTTAGAAAAAGGAAATACCCTCCACTTGTGATTTGAAATGCTGGATCAGGTAACCATTTATTTTATTTACTAGCACTGCTGAAGACTATGCTGTTGATATTTCTGTCTAGTTCTCAAGCATCCATGGATATAAACAAATGTAACAGAGTACCTATGCAGTTTTAAAAATCATTGGATTGACACTAACTTCTCATCAACACAAAATAAATCAACTTTTACATTCCTTGAGAGCTTTGAAATATGCCATATCATCTACATTCTATCAAAATGGGGAGAACTAATAAATGAAGAGGCAGACTAAATTCTGTATGAAACAAAGGGACTGAACATTTCCTAGATACTAATTCATACAACTACATCTGTTTTAAAGTTCCCGGAAATCTTTGTCCCACGACCTTCTCTCCTCACACTGTTTCCAACATTAATCTGTGGGTGCTAGAAATCTTTTGACAACTCTTCCAGCAGAACACTTCTCACTAACACTACTAGCTGCCTGGGTAGTTTATAGGCCTGCAATAAACAGGTCAAGATTAATTATTTGGCAAAACAGCTCTAACAAGTTCCCTTGAAAATTTTTCCTGTGTAAATGCAAATTCATAAAAATTGGCAAACAAAATGTCCTTTCACACTTTTGAGAGTCTTAAAACTAGAATCCTAGATCATTCTTTCAGTGCAATTTTTTCATAGTTCACATCTAAAGCACACTGTAGCAGGCAAGGAGTACACATGCAAAAGAAACTGTAAGAATGGTTACCAATGCTATTACCATTTCCAAATCATTAGTCTGGGGATCTCTCTGTGCACTCTTCCAGGCCAGACATGCAAAGTATGTTGCAATTTAGGGAAACGAGAAATGAAGGGGAAAAAAATTAAGGGCAAAAAAAAAAATCAGGGAAGTTTGGGTAGTGGTGAGCCACATCTCTGCCTGTCAAACACCTTTCAGTTATACTCACAAAACATTCAGCAGCATCATCCATGATGCCCAGCTGGAAGCGTTGCTCATCTTGAAATGTCTTTGCAAGAGCAGTGCGCAGGGCATCAGAAGGCAGTACCTTCTCACTGCTACATTGAAACTGATTGAATATACTCTAGTAAAAAAAACCAGAAGATAGTTAAGTTACTGTATTTTTCAAAACATGACTCAATTTATCTGAAAACAAACAGCAAACATTTAATTTGTTTGGATCCTGCAACACACAGATACTTGTACAGTACACAGACTACAAGAAGAAATCCTAAAAGTTCCTCCTTTGAAATCATACGCACCTTTGTGTATTTCTTCCTTTCACATATACAAGGGAGGGTTAGGAATTTAGGATGAAATTTCCCTCAGGGTCAATCCCCCCTGGATCTATTTGTCTTTCTCCAAATCTGATTCCTGAAGCAATGAACTCCAAAACATTGTGCTTTTTATTTCCATCTCTTCTGCTCTGTTTAACTTTCTCGCTTCCAGCTTACCCATGCCACCTTGTTCCCTCTTTTAAGCAACTCTTTCCAAACATCTCTAGCCCTTAAACAGACACAACTTGATACTTACGCACTTTAAGAAATTTACCTCCCATAAGCCCACGTGGATGAGAATTAGATTATTTTTTGTATCAGCATGCAGGAGGGAAAAGGCACAATATGAACAGGAATGGCAGTTCCTATGTACAGCCAGCTGTTCACTTGCTGCCATAAACCTGTATTTTCCTAACTGTAACTCACACTTCACCTGGGTAACAACCATTTGCAAGGATTAAGAGTTCTAAAAAGACATATTATTGTCAGAAGTGTGGGTTATATGCACAGAAGTTCTGTACAAATTCCCAACTCATTAAGCATCCACATTTATTTTGTGTGCTTGTGCACATTTGTATGAAATATCCAAAACATCATCTGAACAGTTAACTTTTGCTGTGCCCTCCTACAAAAACAGGAACATAATTCTGTAGCAAGATTCTCAGTCTAAGTGGAAAAATTCTAGTCCTTATTTCAACACAACTCAACTCTCCATCACCACTGTGCTCTACTTTCTATGTCATTTCATATGACAACCAACCATCTTGATAAGTGTCAATCTCAAAATTCTGCCTGTCCTTACCTATAAACCTGTCCTCATAATTTTTCTAAAGACTGTGGAAAAGCTCAATTCATACTGCAAGAGAGGAAAAAGGGATCACCAGTCTGCTTTTCTGCCTTCTAAACTTAGTAAGATGAGGAAAAAAATCAAACTAGTTTGCCTGTTTGATTTTCTTTCAAATGTACCCTAATTATCGGTGATTGACAATTCACGTAGCACTTCTTCCTTTAATTACAGAAACCTTCTCCCCAACATACATATTAATTGGAAATAATCTTAATCTTTCTCTCCTTTAACTATTTTTACTTGTTTCTCATCAGTAAAGGTAAGCTGGGAGGTTTGCAAATAGTACAATCTTGTCTGTTTTGAGGAAGCTGGAAAAAGTGCCAAGCACAGGCACTGTCACTGCACAGGCAGCAAACCAACCTCCATGCTCCTGTCATTTCTGCCCATAGGAATGGTACAATTTCTAGTGTTGAAATCATCTAAAACAGATATAATATGCCTATCTCTCTTCACTGCAACTTTTATTTTGGTGGTCCTCAAGGTGCTCATTGATGGAAAACAGCCCATTGTGCTGAAGCCCTCAGCTCTTCTGCTACTGCCTTTATCAGAGTACCACAAAATAATGAGAAAAGGGTAATGAAGAGACAGCCATGAGGCAGTATCATACTTCAAGAACTACAGACAATACCCTCCTCAGTTATCTTTTATATATACATACATTGAAGAGAAAGAACAAAGTCTCTGCACTTAAACTTGATTGCCATTTATGTCACTCTGATAACTGAGCAACTTTCGTGTTTCATTAGTGAATTCTGTCATTTCAGTGACCCTTAAAAAAAAGGCAGTGAAACATTTCTCCACCCTGCTTCACATTTTACATTAAATAATTTAAGAGCACTCCAAAATATTCACAGCTGTGCTTCAGAAATGTGTTTATTCTATTTATTCAATCTCATTTCATAAATCTGAGACTTGTTAGCAACTGGTCCATGACCTCACTGCCATGAGCTGATGGGCAGGACCTGGTTTGCTTCGATGAGAGCCCTGAAATGGCTTTGCACTCATGGGGGTGAGAAACAATGCAGGCTCTAAACTAGGTAAAAGGAAAAGCAAACAAGGAAACTGAAACTCTTCTTTTAAACTTCCATCTTTAAAGAAAAAGTATTCTTACCATGGAACAAAAAAATAATTAAGCAATGTCAATTCTGCAAAGAATGCAAAAATCAGGATGTAACAGATCCCAATATTACATGGAAGAATGCTTCCTCAAATTTGTAATGACATAGCACACCGGTATATGGTCTTATTTAGATTACAAAAGAGGAACAAAATCTTAAAACCAGTGAGTAACTGCGCATTTTAATATAATAAAAATCAAATCATATTATGGCATTGCACAGTACAGTTTAGAGCATATTGGAACCCAGTGCTTGTAGGAAGTCCCAAAAGCACCTCAAATGGAGTCAAAAGCACTTTGAACACAAGGGATTTTGTTTTTCTGTTTTTTCTTAGGTTTTAGTCACTGGGGTTGGGTTGGGGTTTTGGAGGGGAGATGGGTTGATGGGGTTTATTCCCCTTTCTTTTTCAAGATAGGTTCTTTGCTCCCCTTCAGAACAAGTCTCAACCTTAGACAGACAGGTGTGGCATTTCCTGCAATTTCATCACATTATCAAAGTCAGATCTCCCTCCTTAATTTAAGGTCTTGCCTGTGAGCAACACTGTTAACTATTCAAACATTGGTTCCCTACACAGGTAAGAAAGCCAGCTTTCAGAATCAGGAAAGCACTCCTGATTCTGCCCCAGGAGTTCTCACAGCACCTTTCTTCCAAGGGACTATGGAACATGAGAACTTCACATATTAAATATTCAAACTTCAATCTCCTCCAAAAACTCCAACTTCTTCTGAAACTGAAGATGGTGGAAATCCTGTCAAGCATACTTACTGCACTCATGATCTCTTTCAACAGCTACAGTCCAACACAAATGAGTGTGACCCTAACAGTGGCAACAGTAAGAATGGACACTGCTAAAAGCCCCATGAAAATACAAAGTTTCTTCTACTTTACCTGTTTTCAGTAACTAAAATCAAGAAGACAGAACAAAAAAAGAATTAGCTTAACATAAAATCTAAGAATTACTAATACTGTATTAATTGCAGTACTTTGATTTCTACACTGAGGACATGGTTCTTGGCAGGTTGGTCAGTCTACAAGCTAAGACAGAACAGTGAGAGCAAGGGATTTTTCAGATAGGAAGTCTGTGTTCTGGTTATACTGTTTTCCTATGAGAGGTCTATACAGAAAAGACACCCATCTCCCTTCACATCCCCTTCCCTACAGCTCTTCATAAGTCTGGAAAGACTAGCAGAGAATAAAATTAGGAAGTGTGTTCTTCAAGACCAATAAATTCACTAAGTCCATCTAGTTGCATATAGTCCTTCCCCAAATACTAAGATCAACTCCGAACTATATTGTTATCTTTCACCAGCTTCCTCTCAGATGGGTCCAAACCTGGAACTTCCTTAACCATCTCATACTATAAACTGTAGGGCCTCACTTCGTTTTTTACTATTCAGAAGGCTTTTTTATTGTTTTTTAACTGAAAGCTTCATATCCTTTCTACTACTACACAGCAGGGCGTCTGACACAGATCAGAACAAAGCCTTGCAGTCAGTGGGCTTCTATTTTGGGAAGTGTGGGAATGGGGATCAGTATGAATTTTCTAGATGTATACTGATCAAGGATCAAATAAAGGAAAACAACCTAAGTTTTGAGACAAGGTACATTTATCACGCAACTCTTCAAGAAACTTTGAAGGTATTTCAAACACTAAAATTCACATGCATGATCATCAACCAAGTTTTTTTCACCTGGTTTAGAGATTCCAGATAGCAAGTAGTCTTTTAGGTAATCCATGAGATTGACATGCATTTTTGGGAGCTCTTTTAAAGATTTTAAAGTTTCAATAACTGTGAACTCCCTCCTATAGTTTACAAGATCTACTCCCAATTATCTTTAATAGTGTTTGGAATCAACTTCCTCCCTAGGAAAGAAGTATTCCATTTATGTGGGGTAAACCAACATCTGCAGTGTTTAACTAACTATACTGATGAAACAAACCAACCTTGATACACATTTGCATGTGACTTTTTAATCAAGCATGCAAAAGTAGGCTGACATAAGAATAAATTGATGGGCTAAGACAATAGGGAACAGCTATTAAAGCAGAACAGTGTTTATGCACTGTAATTTTGAGCTGTGTCCTTGGCAGATTTCTGGGAACTAACCCTTCCAGAATTATACAGAAGCTTCTTCTGTATAGGGTTATCACTGCAGCCCTAGTGCTATGGTATTTCAAAGGACAAAGCATGTTCCCCTCACCTCAGTATTCCCTACCCTTTCAACTGTTTCTGGGTTTTGGTGATAGGATTTTTGTCTGCATAATTTTTTTAGGCTTTCTCTCCATTTCAATAGCATGCACTTCCTACCCTGTTCAGTGCACCTTTTTTCTTGCTTGTAGTACCTAATCTCTCATTCAGATCATCACACTCTCCCAGTGAAGCCTTCTACTCAGTACAATAACCTGTTTCAAATAGCTGCTAAAAATCACTTTTCTCCTATCCAAACACATCAGCCTCCACCCACAGTATTTCCACTAGCTCACATTTTTTCCCCACATTTCCTCATGTTATATTTGCCTTCAAGGTTGAAAAAAATTCTAGGTCTATTTGGTTTTGTGTCTTTTGATCTCTTTTCAAACCTCCAAGTCTGGTAACAATCAACCCAGATTTCCATTTATTCCTTTCTTCTTATGTCTCTTCCATTTGTACTCACACTGTACCCTGACTATTAAGATCAGGTCCCCAGTACAGACTATCAAGTCAGACACTCCTGGCTACTACCAAAATCAAGTAAAAATAATGCTTTCCACAAGTGTTATTTAGGAAGTTGGCAGGAAAAGAAATTAAAATCATAGAATGTGCACATCTACTAGGTAATAATTCATCAAGATCAAAACAGCCAATTGTTATTTGGAAGCTTCAATTACCAGTTTATTAACTCAGGAAACTGTACTTGCTGCTAGTTTATTTGGCAGTTAGTTAACTGCAAGTGCCAACTGATGAAAAACGTTCAAACAATAAAAGTAATTATTTAATGTATTCTGACTACTGCTTTACCTGAAATACTACTGTCATTAGAAAAAAAGCATAAAACAAGAGGATGTCATCTTTGCAGTCAACATATTATGGTCTCAACCAAATGATGAACATTTCATAATAAATTACTCATTTTCAAGGAAGTGGCTTATGATAACCAACTACAGTCATTCCACTTTAAAAAGGTGCTGTAAAACCCTACTGTTCTCCATTTTCATCTTAAACAACAATATCATTTCTACACAGAAAATTCACATTCTTCCTGCTTTTGTTGCACATGACAAAACAACAGAAAAGACCAGCCCTATTAGAATGTATCAATCAATAGAACATTCTTCTTTGTGACCTACAAAAAACACTCTGTTCTGCATCCTGGCACTATGGAGCTCCCAGCACAATCCCTGGAAGGAGAACAAACTCTCTGTGGCATGCTCAGTACAGTGGACGGATTTCCCTCTTCCTACCCTCTTCCAGCTGTGATAAACACCAAAGCAAAGTCATGCTGAAAAAAAAAGGAAAACAAACCAAATCATAGTAGACTTCAGCATAAATAATACATCAAAAAGCTGTTCCAATGTTATGGCAGGCAAACCACATAGTGGTAAGGACAGCTCGTGTATTGAAAAAAATATTTAAATCATGCCACATTTTAAGGAGCAGTGTTTGGGGTTCCAGCACAGAGTCTGCAACTCTCCCTTTTTATAGCTGTTGATACAAGGTAACTTCCAAATAACCAAGGAATGCATATCTGGAATGATTTCAAGGTTCATTTTCTAGCTACATAAACAAAGGTAGCATGTCAAATTTTAAAATTACTTCAAGAATTTGTGAAATGGAAGTCCTCAATGTGGTACAAAAATAAAATGAGGTGTGATCAGGTATGACATCATTGTCCTGTGATCCCATATTTGAAATTACAAGTCATATTTGAAGAGCTAACTGAGCACTTACAGTACATACTGTGCATGACATCCAAATCCCTAGAAACAGTTGCAGCAAGCCAAGAAAGTACAGAAAAAATACAATTTCTTCAGTGTTATTCCATGGCTAAATTTAGCTTAGAGAAGACTATCTTCTTCTAGAGTCAAAAGGAAGAGGATGTCATCCTCAGAGCAACTTTTGAGAGCAGGAGAAGAGCATGAACCATCTGGTGTCAGATATGCTGTGAAAGGACCCTGAAGTGAAGTGAGGGAACACGACATAGGCTCCTCCCCACAAGTACTGTCCCTTTCCCAGGCCAGGCTGGAATCTCAACATGCCAGCATGCTCTGAAGAAGGGTGAACATGTCCTGCCTCCACCTTGCTCGGTCTGGACAAGTGTTTTGGGCAGATCCACCTGACAGCATGCAAGGCTAATTACCTCTCCCCAGACCCTAATAGGAGATTTTCGCATGGTATAGAGCTCCAAATTCTGGTGTTCCCACTGGATCCAGCCACTTCTTCTCCCTCATCTTAGCAAAGCCTAAGGCAAGATTCAAGAAAAAGAGGATGTCAAAGACCTGGAGGCTAATCCAGCATTACTCTGGCAGGACAATAGTTAAAGGCTTCCAGAGCAGAAAGGAGAGCTGGGACAGGGGAAGAAATGGGCACAGAAGGGAGGGGATGACTCTGCTGCCCTAGGACACAAAACATGCTCTTGGTGATGCAGTGTTAGGTGCACATTAAGCACATAATCCCACTTGTTTTATAGAAGTATACACATAACATGTACCAGACAGACTTTTACAGGAGGAAGAAAATAGAGCAATTTAAAAACACTGATCCAGAGGGCAGCAGAGAACAAGTAAACACCTTGAACAGCCTTTTCCCCCCTTCTACTGCTTAAGGAGAATATGAAGATGAATATGACCATCTCCATAGTTTGGAGCTGTCCCTTGTGAATACCCCTATCTTTTCAGCTGCAATCAAGCAAGACAGCTTATTTCCTGGTGCCCAGAGGTTTTTTTGAGGATTGAGGGGAGGTTTGCACCACGATTTCACTTAGAGTCAAGTGACAGCCCTGATAACTCACCTTTATAATAGTATTTGACTTGATAACAACATAAAAAGTGAGAGAGGGGAACTTTCAAATAGTTATGTACACAATGAACATTTTACACAAGATAACTGAAGTGAAAGCTTGGCACAATATTACCCAGAGAGAGTGTTTCTGGACAGGCTTTGGTAGGACACAGCAATCTTCCATGAAGAACAGACTGCACATAGAGTAGATGCTAACTTTTTGATTTGGATCCAGTTGGAATCTACTTACTTTTTCAAGTTTTGGTTACTGCCCACATTCATAAATACGTGTCGAGGTCACTCTTTAATTACTTATGTGTTCTTTAGAGCTTTTGTGAGCTCCAGGAATTCTGCACACAACCAGACACACGTTTCCCAAAATGCGCAAAAGTAGTAGAGGATTTGCTGCAATATTATTGTTTGATTGGAAATTAAGGGCTGTAACAAGTGCCAGCTAGGAACATTATTGCGAAGAACTTCAGGTAAAAAAAAAAAAACAACAAACAAAACCAAAAACACATACACACAAAATTTTTGCAGGTATCTGAGAGTGAAAAGAGACAGCAGTAAATTTTTCCAAAGCTGCTTGATTAAAAAAATAAACATATGGCTGCATGCATAGAATTTGTGAATTCTGCCACACCACCTGTCATTTCCAAGTTTATAACAGCACACTACACACTTCAAGACATCAAAAACAAGGATTTTACCAATAAAACTAAACATTCGTTGCTTTTAATACATACATTCCAGAGATCCTGTCATCTTCCAGTTTTCCTGCAGTGCTTTCCCTCTCATACTGGTACTGCTAATCCACATGCATCTTTGTTTGCAGTTCATCTTTCAAGACTAGTACCACAAAGGTTCATCCTCTCCTTTTTCCTGCAATATTCTTTCACAACCCTCTCGCTCTTTTTCAGTATTCTATACAGAAAGGCTTTTAACTATTATTTTTCATATTAAAACCTGGACTCTAATGCAGAGTTGAGAGTCTACTTTCATTCATGGCAGAACCTGTCTGATCTCCTGGTAGTTTCTTGATCATGCTTTTCAGTTAAACCCCAGAATGGCAAAAGCTTACACTTATGGTAAATTCCTATATCCTTTTCTTTCTGACCTCATCCTGGCTAACAAAAAATATCAACAATCACTTGACACTACTCGAGGGCATGATCCAAAAAATACCCTTAAATTATCCCACTGAACTTAATGAACTCAAACCAGATCGTGACTAAGGCTTGTCATTCCCCTTTAAGGAAGGGAATATATCTAATATTCCATCTTTTCTGTGTCTGAAGAGTTGTATCTCACCTTGGATGCACTACCTTGCTCCTAACCCACTGTTACATCCTCTTCTGATGATACTGCTGTAAATATCATCCTGTTTCATCATTTCAATAGGTATGTCTTGAGACTAATTTCCCCTCAAAAAACAATACATTCTCTTACTTCATGCCTTAATAGTCTTCCCTTAGCAAAGTTCATTTGCCAGGGAAAACTCCTCAACAACAGCCCAAAAGCTCACTAGATAATTCATTTTAAGCCAGTCTCTACCAGAGCACCTGTGACATTACTTAACAGCAGCAAGACAGCTGTTATACCATAAATATTGTCTAGGAACATCAGATGATCCTAACTTGAACCTGCACTCTCTATTTTACCATTTTCATAAGACATGTTTTCTGTCAGTTTCATCATTGTACACAGAATTGATGACAAATTCTCCCTCTATTTTATATATTTAGTTGGATTTTACAACACACTTGTGATCAAAGAAGATATTTAAGTCTCGATTTCAGAAGAGAAAATCACTGCTCAGGAAGATTAAAGCTAGATATTTTCATCATGTTTGCATCATGTACATTTCTCCCACAAAAAGCCAGGGGTTTAAGCTAGCAAAATTTAGAAAGAAGGTCACAAAAAAAAAACAACCCAGAATGCAACAAAGTAATTGATAGCAACAAACAGAGACACACAGTTGCACAATTTACTCAAGTACATAGCAGTACTCAAAATCAGAGCTAGCATCTAGATCTTACTGTCCAGGCAGCCTCTAAGACAGTCAGTCATTGACTCTGCAGCTACAAACAGAATCGATGTTTTTTAAAACAGAGACTACAAAGAGCTGAGCCATTTAATGCAGACATCAATATTTACAGTAGAAAATAGCCTTTTAGTCTTATATAATCAACAGTTTTGAACAGAAAGGCTTAGCCAAATGGCCCTCCCCATCCAGACATTTAAAGCAGCTCTGAAGTGAAAGGTAAATGTTGATGAGCACACTGACTGTGTATGGTATTATATTTGTATACCAAATAATAAATTGGAAAAAATAAAGGAAACTTGTATTTTATTGCCTGAACCAATGGAGACTCACAATGACCTGCACACCATTAAGAAGTCCTTGTAACTGAAACTTTACCAACACATTTGAACACATTTTAGAAACTGGATCTTGGACCACTAGCTATCACGTTTACCTTGTTCTCACACATTTTCAGGTGCAAGTTTGATTATAAATATTCATAAATATTTCTGTTCAAATTTTTAAAGAATGGTTTTCAATGTATTTCTAACTTTTACCTTAAGAGCACAGAAGATGCAAGAATCACCCATACATTTGTGTGTTGTGATCTGCCGGAAACTGCGGCGAAAAATGTCCAGGTGCCACAGAACCTGAAAAAGAAAAGCGGGCACAGCCAATTTTATGAATATATAAAATAAAATATTGCATAAGCTTTTGATTAAACTGCATATGCTGAATAATCAAAGTAGTATACCAATGTCATCAGTGAAAGGGATGCCTTTTATCTGACTGCAAACTGACGTTTTCAAATTTCTTCTTTAGCTGTAACTATCATATGCTAATTTACAGTATGATCTTCCTCTGAATTTCTAGCCATGTGCTTTTATATTAGAAAACTCCCTTCTCCATCCATGTGGCAGTGCTTGCTTAAACAGCACCTGCTCTGACTGCTCTGCTGTGCTGGCACCAGGGTCGGCTGCTGGGCAACTGCACCGTGAAGCTGAGCAGAGCTGCCGAGGACACTGCATGGACTGATGGGGATGAAACTTTTCCCTTCTTCCAATCCTACAGAACTTACTTGAGCAGAAAGCCTAAATGATGAAGAAATAGAGAACTAACAGTACATACATAAACAAGTTTGTGAAAGAGAAAACAGTAGAATACTAAAATCCGTTACACCCAATATTATCATTACTAAGTGTCCTGACAGGCCATGATTACTGACCCTAGCCTGTTAGGGCAGCTACAGCTTTCTCTCAGGACAGGTATGGTGGTAATACCAGGTGTGTAACTAGGTAGGGTCATAGCACAGAAAAGCAAGCAGGCTTTTACATGTTCTGCTAGCAACAGTGAGAGGTGACATCTGCTCTAACAGCACCATGGTTTTTTATTCTTCAGTTTCACTACTAAACCTGCGCACTCTTGGGAAATTATTCAAATTTGTCTCTGTAAATTAGCAACAATATCCATCCCTGAGGTGTTCTACAGTGAGTGCTTTATGTATAAATGTGGTCAAAACTGGCTGCTTCAACTCAAACTAACAGTAACTGGACTTTCCTGCAAACCTCAGTCAGCCGCCTTCCTGAAGGCAGAAGTTTGCACTGAAAGAAGCCCTGACCTAAATCACGTCCTACCAGGTTCCGGACAGAGCAGCAAGGTCCAGGCTGACATGTGACTGGCTAAATGCTTCACTAGCACAAACAGAGGAACCAAACTTCTTATTTCTGATGAATTTGCCTTGAGCAACTGGCTAGAAAAAATTTAGCACCCAGGCAAAATTTGTGCTCATTTCAAGAAGTGTTTTCAATTGGAACAATTTGTTACTCAAACCACAGTAATATGTAATATTCAGTAAACACATTTTTAAATATAATCTGTAAGTTTCCCAAAAATTCATAATTGCCATGGCTTTGGTTATACTCGAAACATCCTTGTACTTAAGGGCCTAGGAGGAAACATAAGTCTAGAAAAAATCTGATTACACACAAACATTCCTGAAGAACTACTGCAGACTTTACAAAAGGACAAAAAATTATGTTTAGAAATGAGTCCACCTTTTAAAATAATTGTCTTTACAGTTTAGCTTGAATGTTTACAGAAAATCATAAGTGTGAGAAGCAACAGACATTCAAGAGCATTTCAGACTAAGTGCTAAAAAATTAGGATAAACCCCAGGAGTAGGTATTTTATGAAATTATTACCATCTTGCCTTTTTTTTTCTTAATTCAGCTCTGATTATAAGTATTTTCAGTATCCTATCTCTTTTCAGCTTTAGAAGAAAAGGGTTTCTGTAGCAGATTAAAGACCAGGTCATATGCTTTCATCTTCATGTATGGTATGCAGCTGGTATTAGGATCTACTTAGTCCAGTCCTAGGTTCACTAACTCAATATTAGGAAGCAGCCAGTCATTACATCTTACAGCTTAATAAAGGTAATTGATACAGAATATCACTGGAAACTTCTCTCTGCCCTGTCATTCCTAACATATTAAGCCTATTGAGGGTCATAGGTATACATATATATATTATCTGCACTAGGGTTATATGGAAGCCTGAAGTTAGTTGAGAACCTGATTGGGCCCATGGAAAAGAAACCAAACAGAAGTTAAAAGTGATACAGTCTGTTCTGCACAGACAAGTCATATGAAGGGATGGAAACTGACATGAAGGGGTTTTAAGCCCTGCTGCCAAAATGACTGAATCGCAACCACCAGATATTAATAATCTAAATGGTGACAACACCTCTATAGCAGCCATACCACCCCACTGAATTTGGCACCAGAAAAGGTTTTTCTTCTAAATCAAAAAGTAAACACTCAGTCATTTAAATAAGCTACAAAGCAGCAGCCAGAAAGAAAACTGAACCACATAAAATGGATCTTCTATAGTTATTATCAAACTTTGACTGGTTCAACAAAAAAGTTAAGTTTACTTTTAAGAGTATGCATTCTGCAAGCTATGCAATATCCTTTTATTCTCAAATACATTTTCTAGGTGTATTTTTAGCTTTGATTGACATTCTACAAGCTTACACAAACAAGACATTCAAGTAAATGATGACTGTGTAAATGCTATTGAATTCACTAAAAAAAACCTGAAAATTAAAAAGCTGTTCAATAACTCAATCTGCTTTTCCAAATGCAGCTTTATTCTGTCTAGGCCCACCAACAGTTATGTACCCAAGTTTGGCTATATTTGTTGCACAGTGCCTAGGAAAATACTGCAACAGACAGAGGGCAAAACCAGAAACATTGTTTATTCTGTGCTCTTACCTGCAGCGCACTATTCAGGAAGCAACTGTTCTGCCCTGGTTCATTGCTGAGACCTTTACTGGGTGCTATCGAGGTGGTATTTCGTGGAGTAAACATGCCCTGTACATTGCCCCGACCCACAGAAAAGTAGTTTCTTTTCCAAGACATCTTCCAGTTTCAGCTGTAGAAAAATGCAGGTTTAGACTGGCAGAATATTTTACTTGATCAGATGCTTCCTTTCAAAACATGTAGAACTAGAACAACACCCAGTCTTCCTTAAACTATAGTTTAAACAGTATTTATCCTTTTTCCAGGACTCGAGGAGTTTGTTTCTTTTAAATCCAGCCTGGGATGCTATTCTTCATTTGCTGCTTATGCATGCAAAAACCTCCTTTAAAAGCACCCACATAGAACATTTGCAAAGGGAAGGAATCCATGGTTGTCCAAGTTCATGTTAAGCTGCTTCTCCCTTTTCCATACAGGCAGTAACGTCAGAGAATAAATGGCAAATCAAGGAGGTCCCGGACTCAAGACAAGAGAAACAACTTCTTTCCACACCCCCAAAAACACAGCTTCTGTAATTCTTCTATAATCCTCCTGAAGAACATGGGAAAAATCCAATTAGCAAGGGTGCAAAGAAACCAAAACACAACCTTGGCAGCTCAATTCAGTTACATGTATCTTGGGTGATGCAAGAGACATCAGCCTCACAGGGGAAAAAGAAGTAACTCCAGAACTTGCAAGCGAGGAGCTTTAAAGAAGCAAGGCGTCTCCGGCACAGCTCTGCTAATTCTGCATGCGATCTTTAGAAGTTTCTTCTCCCGATCCTCCTTTTGCAATCTGAATGCCCAGCCGTGCCTGAAAGCTTGAGAGAGAAAAATAATCAAAGGCTTGCGTCATTTAATTACTCTCGGTTTTGTGGTGTTCTGCCAAGACCAGTGTTACCTCACCTCCCACAATACACTGACTCTTCAGAGACAAAGCAAAAAATATAAACGCTCCTCCACCCAAAGAAAATAATATAGAAAAGAACAGAGGATTCTGAGAAAAGCATGTAAGAGCAAGGAAGCTTGGAGGATGTTGGCAAGGTTAAGGAGGAAACTAGATTTAAAAAATAAACCACAACGTTCAAGTAAACCCCATGGCAGTAGTCAAACATATCCTTTACAATCTTGTAGTGTTTTTTTTAATAATATCTTATTCATTCAGTTACAAGAGGATTTGTGGTTCTATGAATACATGCTAACATATTCTCCACCCTAGAATTGGGATTTTGCACTAAATATGGAAGGTGCAAGGCTCATCCCTGACTTGGCAACCCACTGCACTCTCTAGAAAAAAAGTCTTCAAATTTCCTTCATCAGAAATTGTGTGTACCTCTAAAATACTACTTAATCTAGGTACATGGGATATGTGATGTCTTATAAAAGGCACAGAAGCTTCTGAAGAAGCCAGAACAATTATTCAACAGAAAGCACTCTTCCCACCGCAAGTTCACTTTTCCCTCATCTACAAGAACATGGGGAAAAAAAAGTTAAGAAATTCCTAGAAACAGGAACTACAAGATTCATGACAACACTTTTTTTAAAAGTCCTCTCAAGTGTAGTCCACCTATATTTACAGAAACCTGCATAGTATTTTCCAGGGATATTCTCAATGACATCTAGAATGACACCACTTTTGATATGCATAATAACAATTGAAATTACCTACTAGGGCTAGTATGAGTAAGATTAATCCAAATGTATTTAAGTATTAATTGCAGCTTTAAGTCACTACAAAACAGACATATGTAAGGTTTGTACCTCAGCAAAAATTAACTGAGAGTATAATACCCTACAAAGATGCCCTGGGTAGCTGTGAAGGCATGTTCTTCATCTTCCACACAACTATCAATTCTTCATCTCCTGTCAAAAAACAGAGAACTTCCTAAATACCTCCAAATGTGTTACTGCAGCCTAACACATGCCCTTCTAGTAATTATTTGTTTGTACTTCTGTTAAACTCATTCTACAAATATTAATGAAGTCTCAGCATTGCTGTAAGGCAGGCAAATATCTTCTCACAGATGAGCAGTCCTCCTGGTTGCCAGTGTGCCATGCAAAATTTCAGACTTGCTTGCAAGCCTGCAGGCACAGACCATCCCCGTGCCTGTCACACAACATTCCTGAGTGCTGAACTTATACAGGAGTCATTTCAAACCAATTTCAGCCTCAGCCCTCTTTCTTTGCTCAACCCCTTAATGAACCATGAGCCAACCATACTGTGTGAGCTATTTAGGGATCAATTTAGGGATCTCTGTAAAGCAATATCACTTGCAGTGGTACAGTGGCTAAGCCTGTGTGTCACAGACAGAGCAGTGCTGAGTGTAATGAACCAAGACAGGCAGGCTCTGTGCTGCCCCACAAAAACCACTGAGCCAAACACTCGGTCTTCTTTCCATAACACCTACAAACAAAGAAAAATACAATCCAAAACATGCCCAAAACACACATCTGAGAGCTACACCTATTCAGTGGACTTCAAGTTCAAAACAAGACTCTGCTCTCAAAATGGGCAGTAAAAAACTGCCTTTTGAACTAACTTTTGAACAATTTTTGAGCAAAGCTACATCAGACATGACAAAGAGAATACATTTTTTTTTAGTTTATTTTTATTGTCTTGGAACAAAATTCAGGACTAGAGGCTTTGCAGTTCACCTGCCATTGCAGCAAGACTACTTCAAACTGGCCTGAATCCTTACAGTAATCATGTAAGCTTACTACCTGCACTGCTTCTGCTCAGGCTTAGCAGAACTGACTTCTTACCACCATGACTATTCACAGGAGCACATTCAGTTTGCTCATTTAGCTACATGGCCTTTGCAAAGCTAAGAAAAGCAAAAAACACGTCAGCTGGTAACCAGCCAGTTAGAATTAAACCAGATCTCCAGATCACAGCTTTGCACTGTGCCAACCTCTAAAAAACTTGCCAGTGAAATACAACAACTCATATCAAATAAACATTATACAAATGTTTTAATAAGGAGCAAATAAAAGATCAAAAACAGATAAAGAACATACAATAAAAAAAGCAAACCCAACATTCTGGATCTTCCTGCTGCTTTGTAGCAGCTTCCTTTGGGAAGCTAGGGGACTCCCAGCCACAGAGACAGGCTCAACAGATCAGAGAGGCATGGGGCATCACAGCAGCAACACAACACCAGAGCAAAGCTGGCCATGGTTCAGCACATAATTCTGGCCTATCAGAGTCTATCCTTTGACAGCAGAGCACAACACTCTACAAGATGCACCACAGAAGATTTCGAGACCCTGTTTATCCCCATATTCCCTTGCTAAATCAATTACACAGAAACGTAACATCTCAAGTGGCATCCTTTATTCTCTGGCAAGGTCCCACTATCATTGTTCATATTTGGGGGTGAGGAGGAAGAATGTGTGGAAAGTAATACCCCTCTCCCACTGCAGTCTCATGTAGCCAAACATATTAGGCTATTGCTTGAACCCCCAGTCTAAGTATGTGGATGAATTAGAACAATCCTATTTATGAACAAAGATGCTTCCATATAGCACTAGGTATGGCTGAAACCACCAATTAAGTATTTATCACACTATTAAATAAAAGCAGAGGTCTGGAATTTAGTGTTTATTCCTTATATTTCTAAAAAAACTTTCAAAACACAAAACAAAATAAATGCTTCAATGTGTAAATGTGTCTGATTTAGAGAAGAGACTCTTCTCCCCCAGTATCCTCCCACCTATTCTTATGGTAGGGAGTAGATTAATGGTGTTGAGGGCAAATCATGCCTTCACATGCTGCAACACCTCTGAAACCTAAAGAGGTGAGAAACAGCTTTGAAATCAAGATCTTTTAATAACAAAAAAAAAGATAGACTTGTCCAATACAATGGATTTTGTTGAAAGCTTTCACCCAGATGGCTCCTGAGTTTGACTCTTTCAGTGAAGAGACACAAGAATAATCCCATGGCTGTTCTCAGCTAGATGGGAAGTTTGTAAAAATAGAAGCTTGAGAACACACTTTCTACATGTACCTGCAACAATGAAAGTATTTCTGAATTTCTGCATGGATTAAATTATATTTAACTGCAGACATATCAATATTACAGTCTTCATTTAGTTTAGACATCCCAAAATATAGTCAGCTTTGCAAGTCAGTTTAAATTCAATCTGGAAGGTAAAGAAATAAAATAGAGAGGTGGAAAAACTTCCCAACACCAAATAACCATGAGGCTGGATGAAGAAAGAGTGAAGAGGGCAGTGATCTGACAGAAGCAAAAGAAGATGATTTCCTCCTCTTGAGGATGTCTCTTCTTTTTGAGATTCTTAGCTAGCCAGAAATACGAGACAGATTTATTTGCTCACCTAGACAATAAAGTGCAACTACAAAAAGGTAAATTTACATTCATCTCTGTTGCCAAGAATTTTTTCACTGTACAAATGGGACAACAGAGGCGAAAAAAATCCCTGCTTTATGCATGCATTTCTCAGCCTTGATGGCTCTGCTGGGAAAAAGGGGCAGGGAAGAGTCTGTAATACTTCTGCTGTCAAGCTTGCTCCCATCTGTCAGTCTTCCTCTTAAATGAACAACATGATCACCTGGCTCTGTGCTACTTGTGCCTACTGGGTGGAACCAGGAACTGGGAACTGACAGCACCTCACAGTGCCATTGATGCCCACAACAGACTCATACTGGTCTTCCTTGTTTTCCATGTGCTATTGCACAATTCTCAGTCCCTGTAGTGTTGTAAAGACAAAGTTTTGAGTACCAGAGATGTTATGTTAATTTCCCAGAGCCTTTTTGGAAAATAAAGTTTGCTAAGGTTATGATAAATACTCTTTCAGACACTAAAGAAATCCTTCCATCTACCAGAAGCAAATTATCCATATGTCTGGCTAAAAGTGGCTGATAAAGATCATCAAAATGATCTTGGAGTGAAGACTAAAAACACGCTTCTCCAAATCCATGGATGTACTTTTTCAGAGGGTACTGATACAGCAAGCCTGATCAAACACTTCAGGTTTCTCCAGAAGACACAGTGAGGCCATTTATGAGAGATCACCTCAAGATAATGCAAACAAAACCAGAAAAGACTAGACAGAACAACAAGCAAAACTAGCATAACAAACATTATTTTTGGTCACTGCTACTGTATTTATACAGCCTATCAACCAACAGAAGAAACTGTTATCAAAATACTGGTGGGTCAATTACCTTTTAGGAATGCATTTCCCCAGTGTGGCAATACTGCCATTTCTACAGATAACTTAACATTTCTACAGTCATAGGAGGAAAAACCTGAACAATTTTATGAAGAAAGAATATGTTTTCATACCAACTTTTCAAATCAACACCAATAAACCATGAAACATGAAAACCAGCCCACTCAACATTCTTGTTAACTGCTCAGACAAACAAGAGGTATGGAGAGACCATATTCTGCAGAAACACTCCAAAGTGAGATTCTGTAAGCTGCTGGGGTCAAGTTTAGCTTTATACCACATGAAAATACTCTTTATAGCAAAACATTCTCCAGCTTCCTCATCCAAACTGCTTGTAGGTTTTATAAAACTCTGGTGGACTGCCCCTTAAAGCAGTGTAATGAAATCTTGCAAACACTTACCTAATCTGAATCATTTGATTTTAAGCCTGACAGTCAGCCAAATCTATTTAAAGAGCATCTTTCACAGTTAAGGAAAAAAAAAACACCAGGAAAAAAAAAAAAATACAAAAAATACCTAAACCCACCAGAAAGCCATTGGCTTTGAAATGCAGAAGAGTCTCCTCCAGGCTTACAGTCTTAGCAGTCTTTTCTGCAGCCGTTTCTGGAATAAGGACATCAGCTGA